CTCATGTGTGATGTTGCTTTGCAAAATTGTATTCCAATTAAAACGTCGAAAACTTCTAAAGAACGAGTTATGTGTGGTGATCCATGAAAGCCGTGACGAACCACAAATTATTATTTTTAAATGGAACACCCTGTGAAAAAAAGTAATTTATGGAACGTTATTTATAACCTGTCAACAGGGATGCAATTTCAAACTTTTTTCATAGAAAAAACACTTTTTTTGTCAATCAAATGCCCCGAAATTAATTAACGAGATTTTTCTAAATTCTCTTAGTGTTGAGATTTAAGGTTACTCACCTCAATTTTTTTTGTATTTGCTATTACAGATATCTGTTAGCCATGATATATTTGACACTTGATGTATATTTCATCATTATCGAATACATTCCCAAACTGATTACCAATTAATCAGAAAAAAAAGTTTCTGGGGTCAAAAAAGTGAAGACAATAAAGTGAGAATAGGAGATATACCGTATATACAAGGTGTTTTTGAAATAAGTGCACATATTCAGCACATTAAAATATGATACAGCCTAATGAATATTCTCATAATATCAGATTTTTTTTAATTCTCCTAATTAACGAGAAATTTCATTAAAATTGAACAAAATACGAGAAAAAAAATCAAATATGATTGAACTCTGCTTGATTGTGCCTACCGCATGGAAATTTGAACTGAGGTGACGTCAGGTTTGCCACAGTGTAGAACTGGGAAACCTGACTGGTGGTGGAAAAAGGGGTCTAAACTCAAATTATTTTATTTTGATCCCTAAATTCTTTTTATTAGTGCCATTCGATAATACACGTCGAGCTTTCTCAGTGTTTGTGATCACAGAAAATCAGATTTCGAAAAAGGTATAAAAAACGGTGTTTCATTTAAAGCAATCAATATGTGGTTTGTCACGCTTTTAGGGATCACTCTGTAGAACTTTTGGTAAGGGCTGTGGAAAGGCCTCATTGCGGCATTCCACTTCAGCATATCGTTTGTTTTCTCTCGATAAAAAATAAGATACCCACAGACAGCACTGGATATTCATAGAATATTCTCTAAATATGCTAAAAAGGAGGAGTACGTATATTCCGAATATTCATCGATTATTCCTAGAATATAAAAATGCCTCTGGAACATCTAAAAGGAATATTCCAAAGTGAATAGTCGGACATGTTCAGGGAATATTCAGGTATGAATCTTCCAGGAATATTCCCAACTGAATATTCTCTGTTGTATATTCATGAAATATACCCAACTGAATATTCTGTGGGGTATATTCATGAAATATACCCAACCGAATATTCTGTGCGGTATATTCATGAAATATTCCATGAATATTCCTATGTTTCTCAACACATGAATACCATTTATTATTTCAGAGATGTGAGTATCGAACATCAATTAGATGTAAGGAGATTTTGAAACAAAAAGTGTTTATGATCCGATTTCGAACAATGCTCTCATAAGAACTTGATATGTATAAAATTATTCAATTCGATTACTGGCCTAGTGGTCAAGGCGTTGCTCTGATAGTCTTGAGGTCACGAGTTCGATCCCTACTTGGGTCAATTTTTTTATTTTAGAATATGTTTATTGGAATATTCCAGGAACATTCAACATAGAATATTCCACAGATATTCCGGAATATTCCAGATTATTTCTAGAATATTCCAATATTCCGAAAGGAATATGATAGGGAGATTCATGGAATATCTGGTGCTGTCTGGGTAAATATATAAGGGTGGGCCTTCTCTAGACTGTACAGGGTGGGCCAAATTGGACGCTTTTATGGGAAAAGTCCTATATTCTCCAACTAGATTGAAGAAAACAGATGTCTGTGTGCCTGAGGGTTGATTCTCATGAAAAACGCAAAGGTGAAATCCGCAAATCTATATCCGTCCTCGTTTCGGAGTTACAATAAGGTGTATTTCGGAAATGGGAATTTTTGAAAACTGGCTATACAGATTTTTTTTTTTTTGGAAAAAATTGTCTGTTCTCACAAAAATAACTGCAAAGCACTGAATTTGTGATGAAAATGGTTCTCGAGGCACTGAAATGGGCCTTCCTATATCTAGTTCAAGAATATAACTTGTTCTTCTTGAAAGGAAAAGTTCTATTCTGCAACTATAAGTATTCGGTGACAGATTTCAGTGCCTGAAGATCAATTTTCATGACAAACACAATGCTTTGCAGTTATTTACATGAGAATAGACAATTTTTTTCAAAAAAAAGTTTTAGGCACTTTTCAAAAATTCCCATTTTCGAAAAACACCTTATCGTAACTCTGGAGGTAGATTATCGATATGCGGTTTTCACCTTTGAGTTTGTCATGAGAATTGATCAACAGTACGGGAATAGGACTTTTCCCTTCAAGTGTCCAATTTGGCCACCCTGTACAGCATGTCTCACTTTGAATGTCCCCCTCTTCATCTCGGTTATTAGCCGTTTGAATCAAACCATATTTGGATTGATATTAGGAAATTTCATCAGCCGATTATAAAACTCTTCCTATCAAATATTGTTTATTTTATATATCACTTTGCATTAATCACAACAAGAAATAAAACTAAAATATAAATATATGATCTCAATATAAAACTTCATCAGATATAAATCTATAATCCTATCTCAAAATTACCCATAATCGAACCAAAAGATATGTGAATCATTAGAAATAAAACAAAGAAGCAATAGTGAATAATTATTGGCTATTTCAATGATGTCTTTTTTTATACTTCTGATTATAACAGGTTCCTTTATCATAGAAATTATCAAATAACATAAGTATTATTGTTGAGGAAGGATTCAGAGATTCGAATTGACAGCCATAGCTAGAATTGTTCAGATTGAATGATTTAATGAAAGTAAAACTATTCCGAAAATCATGCTTATATGAATTTTAAGTTTTCAGAAATGTTCGCCCAGAAATTGACAGATGTCTGGAAGCGTAAAACTGCCACGGATTTTTCGTTTTTTCAGTCGATGGAACTCTACTTCTAAACCGAGATTTCGATTTTTATATCAAAATTTCTGAGTATTAGTCAATCTGTTGCATTCTTGATTGTTCGTCACTATTCTCATCTTGAGTGATGAATAAAATGTCATCACAATGTGATCATTGGTGTTAAGAAGAAATTCAAGAAATTCGGTAATACCATATAGATCGAATTAGATCTATGGTAATACCAACAGAATTTTCTGCCAGAGAACAAAAAAACATTGCATTGGAAATCATTGATGATCAATTCATGAAAATATCTCGCCAAGTTTCCACGAAATGTTGAATTATTGAACTATGTATTTGTATATAATTAATACATTGAGAAATTCAATTGAAAAAAATGTTTCACTATAATTCTACTTATTACTTTAAACGCCCACTGGCTCTATATAAATAACCATCAATATGATCAGTTTTTCAGAGAATATCATTTTGAACAGTGCCGTGCAAAATGAGGTCGATTTTTCATGAAAATCATATTAGGCATTTTTTTATGGAAAAACAACCTCATGGTTTTGAACCCCCCATATGTGAACAAACTTCTACGGAGTGTTTGAAAAAAGGAACTTACATACATCATTATTATTGCGAATGTAAATAAATGTTTTCTTGAAATCGATCAGTTCATCGAAAAAGTATATCTTGTTTTCTACCTACTGGAGCTATCAATATACATCCTGGTTATTTTGAATGAGTCGAATTTTTCCATATGGACATTCGAAAGTATGAGGAACAATAGTGTGGAGTTAGTTTTCCTGCAAAAATGCCTAATATGAAATTAATATATGATATAATTATGAAAAATATAGACTCTTCATTTTGATTACACCGCGCGACACTGTAGATAATGATGTTTGTATCTGAAAAAGTGATCTTTTTGATGGTTAATCGCAGGCAGATGAGATGTAGATGGGGGGGGGGGCGATTGAAGAGAGACAAGTATATTTCATATTTCACAAAAAAAAAAACGAAAAACTGTTGAAAAGCATTCAATTCCATTGATTTTTCTCATATCTAAATCATCTCTCTGCTACAAATCTGAAAACTGTTGAAAATATAACATACCAAAATCACCTGCAAATGGAAAAATCGGGACACATCGCTATTGTGTTTTAAACCGGTGGGGTCTGATGTACCCCATAATTAGAAACAGGAGGAAATAAAAACCATTAGGAATATTTCCAGATTTGTATGTGAAATGAGTTTTTAGTTGTATTTACTTCATGATTATAAACAGAAACTTTTTATAATGAGTTTAATTCATGAGTTATCATCAAAGACATATAAATGGCGAAATTCTCACGAAAAAACAAGAACATGATATCTTTGAAAATTGTTTAAAAAATATACAACACTCAATTCTGTAAGATTTCATGCAAAATTAATTATTAAAATGCTCAAGTTATCAGCTAGAAAAGTAGCATGTAGTATATGAAAAAAGAAAAAAAATTATCCAGTTTCTCATGAGAATATACATGTATCTCAAAGAATAAAATGTATATCTTATTTGTTGCACAGGTGGGGCTTCTCAGACCCCAAAGCTATTTACTGCACTGTCACTATCTAGGTAGCTAACTAAAGATTGAATTCGCACCAGAATATCACAGGATCGAATGTTTTAGTAAGCTCTAGGCATTCCAATTGAAATGCCAGTGATTTAAATTTTAAACTTTGTCAGGACATCTAAGACCCCCACCACCTGGGCGAAACCGGGTTAATTCAACATCAAAATTGTTTCTTCTGAACATTTTGCTCTAGGTGCATGACTGTTTTATGCAATTGTAAGTTTTATTGACTGAAGAAACAAAAAACCCGTGGAACTTCTACGATATCAGCAAATTTAAAAAGAAAAAAATCTGGTGGAGCAACTTTTCATTGAAATATGCCATGTATCCATCTGGTGCCGTGATGCCAAACCCAGTGAAATGATTTCCTCAATCCTTTCTCATCTGACGAGACAATGAACGAAAAAAAAAAAAATGGAAACGAAACGAATCCCGCTATTCATTCACGTTTCGCAGTCTCCGGCGCCGTGCACTTTGACGGGATGCCTCCCGACGGTGCCGTATTTGTAGACGCCGTCGTGGGGGCCCTGGTAGAAGCCGGGCGGGTCGGGCGCGCTGTGGGCGCCCCTGGGCGACACCAGGTGGGCGTACTCGTCCTCGCCCCGCGGGACCGTGTACGTGCCGCGGCCGCGTATGCGCCTGCTGATCGAGCTGCCTGTTGAACGATAATTCGATAGAAATAAGCAACAGCTTAATTCCTAAATTGGACATAAAAAATTGGGATTTATCACATGGCGTTTCGGAAATATGCAAGAAATATCATCAACCTACAGACAGTATTTAAATATCATCATCATCAGATGGCACCCATTCGCTATCTTGAAATTTTCATCTGTCAATTTCACTTCTAAATATAGTATTCATGTATCAATTTCATTATTTCAAGTCAGTCCCAAGTTTCAATTTTCTCAGTTGACCCATTCACAAAATAAAAGGGGGGAATTCTACGTAAGTATGACCATTTTAGCCTAGAATTCAGACAATCTGGTTGGTTGAACTTAGATGAAAGATTCAAGCTCCATATGTCATCGCTGGTTTTCAAAATAAATAAAAAATGTGTTCCTCCATATTTGTTCAAGAAGCTTTCAAAAGGTTCAGATATATACATGACAGATTGACACGTTCACGTGACTTTTATACCGTTCCAAAGCACAATACTGCACAATTTCAGAAGTGTTTTTCATATATTTCCACTCACACATACAATTCTCTACCTGCCCACGTCAGATCTACTCGGACCCTCAATACATTCAAAATATATGCCAAATCCTATATATTTGACATGAGAAACCCCAATTCTTAATTAGTGAATCATTATTATTGTTATTATCATTATTATTACTGTCATCATTATTTTATTGTTACCATTATCATCATTGATTGATTTATTCAGTTGTTATATTCAATTGGTGCCCTATGTGTACCTATATAGTATAATATTTCAATAGTAGGTGATTTAATTTTCTTAAATTAATTGAAAATAGCCTTTCAACTTGTTGGATACTTAGGGGGTTGTATGGAAGAGCAACCATGTTGAATGCCGCCTCCTCTTTATAATACTCTATGAATTTTGTTTGTTGATGAAAAATAAACACATTATCATTATTATTATTAAATAAGTACTGTAGATACGAGCATAGCTCACAACGACTGTAACTAATTATTATTTGAAGAGTGAAATATGCAAAAGGACCTATGAGCCGATTTTGCTATTCCTGATAGAAAATAACATGTCGCTCCACCTGACGGCAATAACTTATTGAACACTTCTGAGGGGTTTGTTTTGATGATATGACCAATAAGCACAAACAAAAAACAAATGTGAACCAATGAAACCAAAGTAAACATGCCGCTTTGACAGCTTTCAAGAACTACGATTATTTTCTATCGCGAATATCAGGTATTTCTACGGTTTTGGGGCCTGAGTGCCATGAGAAACTTGCACACGTACATTTTTTTTCGTCACGCTGCCCTCTTTGGAGAAATTTTGAATCTATCAAACAGCGCCGAAGTGCCAAGAAATTGCACTTGATGATTTTTTTGGTTTTCAAACTACAAAATGAGTCAGAATTTGGAAATAATTATTGAAAATATCCCATCTACGAGTAGTGATAGCATACCAATGGAAATTCAAAGAAAGGGAAGAGTGAAAACCTCTGCATGATGTTCAACAAGACACTAAAGCTCCAAGAAACAGTGGAAAGCCTTTATTTATGCCTTTATGTATGTTTATGTTTATTAGTATTTAATTTGCTTTTAGGTTTCGAGATAACTTTTGTTTGCCAACTAGAGACCTACATTAGTAATTTTTTGTTAATATCCAATTTGCCTGCAAGTCCATCACGTACACTCGTGGCAAGAATGCTACTTTTCAAGAAGTTTTAGATGCTTAGAAAATACATTGAACAACAGAATGTTTTGTTGCTCCTAGTAGAATGTGACAATATAAATGGAAGTAGGCACGAAACTTATGAGTATAGATTCTAGCAGGAGTAGTGATCGACCGATATGACTTTTTTAGCCGATACCGATAATCGGCCGATACCGGTATATATATATATCGGCATATTGGCCTTTTTTGTCTGTTGTATTGTCTAAAATCTCTAAAATCTGAATATTCTGTAATATAATTTCTAATTCTTTAACGTTCAATTTAAAATCATAAAAATAAAAACAAAAATTGCACTTTGAATGAACCGTAAATTCGGCGAAAAGGAATCGGCTGAATCCAGAAACCACCGAGACACTTATTATTTCACATGATAATTTGCCAAAACTACAGTATTCATATTAAATGCCTATTTCATGTTATATCTACCATAATCTCTTAAGATTACCTTATTTCAAATATTACTTCAAATTTAAATATAAAAAATGTATTAAGCTGCTATGGTTGTCTTTATTTATCCATCGGCCGATATAGCCGATATATACTCACATCTATCGGCCGATAGGTACCGATAATCGGTCCTCGGCAGATATAGCCGATATATCGGCATCGGTATCGGTCGATCACTAAGCAGGAGACAGCGCACATACAGACATTATTTACATCTTCCATATTACAATACGAGAAAAGCCAGGGGGAAACGCCAGAGAAGAGACCAGTCTTGGAAATCCAAAATCATCAAGTTTATATCATCAATACCCACAAGAGAAAGTCACTATGTACGAGAATAAAGTTGGAAGAACTAATTATCTGAAGTTATAAACATTCCTAAACTTCATTAAGCTTCTATTATAAAGTACACCACAGATTTAATTAAAAGAATCACATCCGCCAGGCAAAATAATCACTTCACTGTGAAACAAACAAACCGTTTTTTTGACTGGATGTCTGTAGCTAAAAGTACCTTGAAAACTGATCATCTCGGTATATCGCAACTGGTTATGCTTAAGATTAGTGCTAATTTACTAGAAGAGGGAATGGTTGAAGTTAAATATAATATTGACTTCTCTAGAAACTTAGACGTATATTTTTATGATTTAACCCCTAAGAAACCATCACCAGACGCTGAAATAAAAGAAATTCAAACCATGGTCCCCTATCTAAAGCCCAAAAATCAAGCTTTTTATGACCAGCTCATTGTGTCTGGTGCTGAATTTGGTAAATGGCACTAAGCCCTTCTGCATATATTTCACTCTTCATTCATTGAATGGGAACACCAACCGTGCAAAGCCAGGCCGGACAGCTATAAAGAATAATTGAAACAACAAAGTAATCCCCATTTACTTACCCACGATGCCTAAATGCTCTCTGATATCCGTGCGCACATCAGAAATATCCCACATGGCCAAGAAGGCGGAGCAACACCCCGCCCCGCCCTGCTGTCTGCCGCCGGCCCCCTGCACCGCGTACTGCTCGTAGGAGAAGCTGTAGTGATGCGCGATGGCCGCCAGGCACATCTCGATGCAGACGAGGAAGTCCTGGAGGCGGGTCGAGAGGGCGGGGCCGTCGTCGGGGGCGTCGGGGGAGGGGCGGATCACTTGCAAGTAGACGAGCAGTTCGATCACCACGCCCTGGCTGAAATAATGGGGGGGGGGGAGATAGGAAAAAATTTCAAATACAAAAGTTGTAGGATTTCTTCTGAACCTCCAGAAAATTGTACGATGTGAAATAAATAATAATATTGATGATAATAATGATCATTACTTTATTTTCTTTGTGACATACTGGAACATGTATTCGCGCTCGCCAAGGGAATTAAATGTCTAACTTCAAATTTAAGTTTTCCCGTAGTTTTGAATGTCATCGCTAAACGTCATCTTATGACCTTAGCGACCGGGAATAGAATTTGTCAAAGACGATTAAGGAAGCCAAAACTGACCATTAATAAAATAGAACTAAGACAAAGGCTTCAAAATTCATATAAGGAGTAAAATCCACCCTTTATTAGGTATATCCTAAGACATTGCTTGAATGTTTTCAATGTAACACATGATTTAATGTCGGCCGGAAGTTTATTGAACAGCCTTTGCCCAGCCACAGCAGGTGATCTAATAGAAGATTAGTTCTTGAAAATGGCATATGTATGTCATTATATGCTGTCTGGTGTTGATAGAAATGAATATCGCTGATGAAAGAAATGGGTAGCGGCTTCGTTAATTTCACTTATAATTACACGAGAGTTTTTTGTGTCGAAGTAAACTTGACATGTATCAATAAGAATTTTGTTGCCTGGCAATTTGACGAAAAAAAAAAAATGCTTTCGCAAAAATTACGAGGCCGTATGACGAGTAATTTTTTCTGGCAGTTTTTTGATTTGAATTACCTAATGGCAACAAAATTCGAATTATAAATGCCGAGTTTACTTCGACTAAAAAAAAGATAGAGTGTAATTTGGTAAGACAATTTAATTCATCAAACATTTTTTGTCTATGGCTGCATGGTTGTCATGCTTTCAAAAGTTAGGTTCCGTTATATTGTCGGTGTCATAATGACAAAATCACGCGGCTTGTGGGATTTTTCATAGATGAATTAAATTGTCAATGGAACATCCTATATATTTTTCGAAAAAATTGAGGATCTTTCTTTTCTGATTTCAAAAATATATAGGTTGTTGATGCGCGGTTCAGCCGTTTATGGAATATTTGAGGTCGAACATTTCAGAATTAGCTTAGACTCGTCAGTCTATGGTTTTATACAGGGTATATCACGACAAGACTATGTCTATATCGAGAAACAGTCGTGAGACATCCATGAAAATATGCATGCTTATATTTGAGAATACCTACACCCTCTTCATTTAAAACATTTTTAGCAATGCAGTGTTGCCGCTTCTATCAAAAAGTGGCAACAACTTTGTTATATCAAATAGAATACCCTGTATTTTATTGCATTTTTAGATTTTCCCTGAAGAGCTGATTTCATCAATACATCACAATTGAGGTCAATCGGTAATGATTCAAAATCGAGATTTTTCAACTTTGGGATTTGTTTGTGTCGAAACTATTCATCATCGGCCAAAAAGGCTCACATTTCCTTATTTCAACTTTTGATTTACTATTTACTGATATTCAATCGGAACAGATACAGGGACTACAGGGTGATCAGAATTAATAATCTTGAACCACCCTCTGTATCTGGTCCGATTGAATATAGGTAAATAGTGATTCAAAATTTGAGATAGGGAGGGCCATGTGAGCCGTTTTGACCGATAATGAATAGTTTCGACACAAACAAATCCCAATGTTGAAAAATCTCGATTTAGAACACCCTATATTATATCTCTGTAATAGTTTTCGATTGACCCCAAGTGTGACATATCGATGAAATCAGCTCTTCAGGGAGAATCTAAAAATGCGATAAAATACAGGGTGTTCAATTCGAAATATCAATGTTGCTACTATTTTCTAGTAGAAGCGGCAACACTGCATTGTCGAAAATATTTCAAATGAAGAGAGCGTATTCTAAAATATATGCATGTACTTTTTAATGGATCTCTTCCGACTGATTCGCAACTGCGATTTGGTAAAACCAAATTGTAATTGTAACTATGTAAAAAATGTTCAACCTCGAATATTCTGAAAACCGCGGAATTGAATATCAACAACCTATATATTTTTGAAATCAGAAAAGAAAGATCTTCAATATTTCGAAAACTATAAAGGGTGTTCCGTTGAAAATAAGTTGGTACCCATTTATTGTATCAGCGACCATTTGTTTCACCTCCTACAATTTTATGCAGATTGAAAACAAACCCTGATTTTCGGTATACAGGGCCGGATTACTTGCAAGTAGACGAGCAGTGCGATCATCACACTCTGGTTGAACAAACAAAGGTGTGAGGATGAGAGTTGGGTGATCTCGGGAACTTTAAGGATTTTGTTTAATTTTCGGTATACAGGGCGAATCACTTGCAAGTAGACGATCACCTCCCCCTGGCTGGGAAAAAGAGGGGGGGGGGGAGTGATAGTTGTTGTATACAGTGTCAGGCTATGGATATCAACATTTAAAGTCTCGAGAACTGTTGAGGATTTTGTACGATCACCAAGCTGTGACTGGGAAAAAAGGGAGGGGGAGGGTTGGAGTCGAGTACAGGGTGATCAAGCTATGTATTTCAACATTCAATATCTGGAGAATCATTTAGGATTTTGTTTTTTTGTTTAGTTGTCGGTATACAGGGCGGATCACTTGAAAGTAAATGAGTAATGTGATCACCATGCCTTGGCTGGAAAAAGAGGGTGATGGGGTGGAGGTGAGGTTCCTGGAGAACTATTGCAGATTATGTTTGGTTTTAGGTATACTTAAGCTGGCCTTCAAACTCGGTCAGGGTCACGTGACTTTCACTACTAAAACTTTCCCAAATGGCCAAAATAGGATTCAGACATGTCCTTTTGCAACTTTTAAATTCCAAAGAAAGCCGGTGAATTGATTTAGAATCAAAATAAAATAGAAGTAATGATAGAAATGTCAAAAGTATTTCCTGAAATTATTGCTACATTTATTTTGTTCTCATAAAATACTATCTAACTATGTTATGCAGCTGAATACTTACAAAAATGAAAAGAACACAACAGCTTTGATACAGAGAAATTTGGGCAGTGGTTTCATAGGCCTGAGTTCAGCTAGACTGGCTTTATAAAACATCACCAAACAGTACATAGCAATGAACTGTGAAATATTATTAACAGCCACTAAATAAGGAAAAGCCACATTGCCCTTAAACTGTCCTTCACCATAAACATCCAAATTTTTACATATACTAAAACAAAAAAACGTTTGACAATGATTTAAAGAAAAACATATGTACTTTTTACTCACAAAGAAATGGCTGTGGTTAATGGTCTAACAACAGTATATTGGAGAATCCCATGTTTGCATATGTGAACAAATTCCCTTGAAAAGAACAATTAATATATTGAATGTGTTTTTCAAAAGTGGGTAATGAGCAATGCCTGAAAGGTATTTTTTGGGAATATAGTGTCTATTTGTCTCATACCTCCCCATTTCCCAATCTGGTAAGCAACAGAGGGGAAATATGTGCTTCACCTGGGGCTTCAATTCTAAACTTGCTTCCAAATCCATTTCCATATTTAAGTAGTTCAAAAGAAACTTCATGAAGTTGTAGATAACATAAGCTTCATAACATTCTCTTATACTGTCAACATACACAGATTCCTTGGGGTAAATCAATCCCAACCACTGAAAAATAATAGAGAAAGACTTCCCTAATAGCACTTGGCTTTATCTTATAGCCTATTTGAAGAAAAGAGAATTTGTTTGATTATGTGAACTGTTGAAGTTCAAATTTGCATTGGATTATTTGGAAGGCAAATTGAAAAATTCGAGAAATGGGGTATTTATACTCACAGCATTAATAGCATATATAGGAACCATCCATAATATTCTGAAAGCAGTACAGTAGAAAATCAACAAAGTTTAAAAAACAGTACTGGTGAAGATAAATCTTCACTATGAGCACTACATATATGTATAAAGGAAAATTACTTTTCAATTTCACAGAAGTAGTAAAGTATAGCAAATTGTTCTAAACAATATATTTCTGCCTTTATATTTTTTATTATAGGAGTGATTTTCCAAATTAGAAAACAAAAATACATATTCCATTGGCCACCTCCTTTGAAATGTATAATTCAACATATAACAATTCTGGATAATGGTGAATGCTCTCAATAGTGTTAAAAAAAGTAGTGGAGAATATAAATCCTCACTGAGCAGTACAATATGGGAAAATCACTTTTCAATTTCACAGAAGTAGTAAACTATAGCAAATTATTCTAAACAATATATTTCTACCTTCAATTATCTCTATTATTATAGGATAGAGTAATTTTCCAAATTTGGAAACAAAAATAAGGTAATTTTGCACTTATCATGCGATGGGTTTTTTTTCGAAAATTTTTTTTGGTACTTACGTATTTTTGTCTGAAAAACACGAATTTGATATTGAAAATGTGAACAAACCACTATTTATCGAGATATTTCAAGAAAAAGTTCGAAATTTTGCCTTATTTTCCCCCTTGTGTTGGATGCATTTACAGGTACTTGCTCTTTTTATTTTGTCATTGGACACTTCATATACTCATGATGTACTTCAATGACACATTTTAAGCTAGAAAATTCAACAGGAAATATGGTTTTTATGGTGAGTTTTTCCTATTTAGTGAGCAAGCATACCAGATGACCGCCATTTAATCGATGGGTAATCCAAATAGGAGATGTCAAATGTCAATAGATTGCTTTGGAATGACATCACACACGCCATTATTTCAAATGATATTCTTCCTTCTTTTCACTAAACATGGATAAATCACAAGAAAATCATATTTCTAGTTGACTCATATAGTAAAAAATATGTGTCCAACATTGTGTGATATATATAAATTGTCCAATGATGGAAAAAGAAGGGCAAATTGTTCTAAATGCGCCCCAAAGACAGGCGGAAAAGAAGGTGAAATTTGTAACTTTATAGTGAAATATCTCAATAAATAATGGTTTGTTCACATTTTCATTATCAAATTCGTGTTTTTCAGACAAAAATACGTAAGTACCAAAAAAAATTTTCGAAAAAAAAACCATCGCATGATAAGTGCAAAATTACCAAAAATAACTATAACCACATCTAATAATTCTGGAAAATGGTAAATCTACCAGGAGGAAGGATATTTTCACATTTTCCAATATTATATGCCCCTATATTTTTGAAAAATACAGTACTTGACAAAAATAGAAATATTGTAGGTGCAGAAGATTCACCCCTTCAGTATTATCTTAAAACAATAATAACTTTGCACAATGAACTTACCTAATAACATGTTTTTGTAACTTAGGTTGTCTGTAATGTATGACATGCTGTATAATTTCCCACAGAGACAGGGGAATCGCAACCCACACAAAAATACCCCCAATAAGTATCTCTTGGTCGTGTTTGTTGAATCCATCCTGCAAGGATCTCACTAGGAATAAAGGAACGAAAACCAGAGCTGCAAAAGCATACAGGAGAATGAATAGGGGCCTAATCCATAACCTCCATCTGGACAAACAATCCAAGCATTGTTCGAAGCACATTTTTCCTGGTCTCACATCGTTTCCGTACAGATTCTAAAAGGATATTTTGGTCGAAATAATAAAAAAAACGAAAATAATGTCAACAAAATGTATCTACTGTTGATTTGAAGAGAAATTCTGACATAGAACCAAAAGTTTGCACAGATGTTTTCAACAAGTCTGACGACACAGAACATCATCTTCTTCTTCTTCTATCTTAAATTCATCAGTTGTCATTTGCACTAATTTGAACTTGGCACCACAGTACAGAGTACGAATACACCTACACAGTGGTTGTAAAAAGTTTGTGCATTCTGTGATTTTAAAATTCTAGTCAGTGGTAAGAGAAAGTATTTCATTATTATATTTTAAAGAATGGCTCCTTACAAAATTGTGATGGTTCGTCACGGCGAATCAGAATGGAATGAAAAAAACCTCTTCTGCGGCTGGTTCGATGCTAACTTGAGCGAAAAAGGTAAGAAAAGGGTTCAACCTTGAGTAACCTTCACACCTAACCTTTATTCTGCCTCTAAATGGCTTACATTTTTGATATCTATAGGTAAACAAGAAGCCGTAAATGCTGGTAAGGCCCTGAAAGACGCCAGCTACAAATTTGACATCGCTTACACTTCAGTGCTTACCAGGGCACAAAACACTTTGCAGGCCATCCTAAAGGAGATAGGTCAATCGGACTTGGAGACGGTTAAGACTTGGCGCCTCAACGAGCGACATTACGGCGGTTTGACGGGCCTCAACAAGGCCGAAACTGCCGCTAAGTATGGGGACGCCCAAGTGGCCATCTGGCGGCGCAGTTTCGACGTGCCTCCACCCCCAATGGAGCCTGATCACTCCTACTATGAAACCATCGTCAAGGTTAGAAATAAATCAGCATTGAAAATTCAAAATAACAACTATGTTTGAAGGATGGGAGGTATGCCAATGGTCCAGCTCCTGATCAGTTTCCCAAATTTGAGTCCCTCAAGCTCACTATTGAGCGTACTCTGCCGTTTTGGAATGATACCATAGTGCCTCAAATTAAGGCTGGGAAGCAGATTTTGATTGCTGCTCATGGAAATAGTCTGAGGGGTATTGTGAAGCATTTAGATGGTGAGCAGAATCAATTTTAGTCCTTGATAGATCTCATGTTTTTTAACAAGGTGTTGGGGTATTAATTTTGAACATTGATTCATCAAGTTATTCAATACATAATTCATGAAAATTGTAAGTCCTTAATTGGTTTATTTTGATATAGGGACATACATTAATAGGGTATCAAGGTGTTCCATACAATTGTTTCTCAATAAGGTTTGTCTTGTTTAGTCCAGTGGCAGTGCCCCAGGTCTAAAAACAGTGATATTTAAAAAATATAGCATGCTCTATTTTTTACCAAATATTTTTTCTGATTCCCTGGACTTTTTTGTGGGTTTCTTCTCTGACAGTCCTCATTATTTAGACATAGATTAAAGAAACCATTGTTAGTTCAAGAGTATGCTGTATAATATCTTGTGGATCGGTAATAATACAACTAGTTACAAGATGTTATATTATATTGTTGAACTTCCAGAATGTTACAACTAGCACTAACTATAAACATGTGGTCACATCCATGTTCTAGAAAGGAATACCCCATATCCCCTAGTCCCTTATAAGACCAGGCAATGTCGCCTGTCATAATGTCAAGAACGTCAATATGACCTAATGGGACATAGAACACAAAACATATATAAATAGTAGGCAGTAATGCCAACTTACAATTGACATCATAATACATCTTTTCCCCTTTACAGATTGAGCCTTGCAGGTTTTTTAACAAGTCGACCTGATCTAGTACTCACTACAGTGTTACTATTGGTTGGTTGAGCAGGAGCAGCAGGTTGCACATTACAGTTTTGCTCATAACTATTGCTTAGTCTATTCTGTGTGGATGAACTAGAACTATCATTTCTACCGGGTGATGACTCAAGACTGTAATTACCATGAATAGACTCAGCTTTACATGTAGCATTATCATTTTCGTTTACAATAAGATTATTTTCATTGATCTCTCTTTTGTGAGGATTCTTAGATAATCGTAAATCGTGTCTGTTTCGTCTAACATGATTTCCTACATTATTCATTACAATATAAGACCTAGGGGCTGAATGACTATCTACTATTTTACCTGAGTCCCAAGTTTTAGTTACATGATCGTAAATAGTGACATTATCTCCTTTCTTCAATGGTTTTTGATGTGAAGCACTTCTGTCAAAATATTTCTTACCTAAGTCCCTCTTTGATTGTATTCTCTCAATAACATCTTGACATAATTCAGGTTTTAGCAAATCTACTGAAGTTGGTACATTTGTTTTGCATCTGCGGCTGTTCAACAACTGTGATGGCGAGTAGGCCATATTCTTAAGAGGCATATTTCTATAATTTAGTAATGATAACTCTATATCTTTACCTCCTGCCAATGCTTTTTTAATTATATTTTTTGAAATTGACACGGCCTTTTCTGCCAATCCATTGGATCTGGGAAAATTTGGGCTTCTAAGAATCAATCTGAAATTCCAATCTTCAGCAAATTTTCTAAAGCATTCACTATTGAAGGGTACATTATCAGCAACTAGAATATCTGGTGGTCCAAATCTTGCAAACACAGATTGAATTTGATTTATTACAGATTGTGCACTTTTAGATTTAATTTGTAGTAATTCTAGCCAATTAGAATAGGCATCAAATAAAACAACATAACTTATATTTGCAAAAGTGAAAATGTCTGTTCCTAAACGTTCCCACGGACGATTAGGTATTGGATATGGCATTAAAGTTTCTTTTTTATTCTGACGTGCATATTTTTCACAGACCTTACATGATTTGCTGAAATTTTCTATATCATATGTTAACCCAGGCCAATAAAATGTTTTTCGTGCCAGAGCTTTAGTTTTTTCAATGCCAAAATGACCTTCATGTAAGAGTTTCAACATTTCATTACGAAGTACAGTAGGTACTATCAATTTATTTTCTAAAAACAGCAAATTGTCATACATAGAGAGTTTGTCTTTGAGTTTGTGATAAATTTTAACATTTTCAGGTATGTTAGCTTTATTATGTGGCCATGAATTTGTTACAAATTCAATCACTATTTTTAAATTAGTGTCATTTAATGTTTCACGTTTAAACTGCTCTTTTCTTTTTTCAGACAATGGCAAATAATTACATAATGAATGCACAGCATATTCAATTTCTGCATTCGATTTCAATCCCTGATCATTAGTCAAGAATGCTCTGGACAACGTATCTGATATATACATATATTTTCCTCGTCTATAAGTAACATTTAAATTGTAGTATAATAGTTTTAGTCGAATGCGTTGAAGTCTAGGTGAAATGGCTTGAATGTCTTTTTTAAAAATAGTTTCTAAAGGTTTATGATCACTATGTACTTTAACATCTAGTCCATAAATAAAATAATGAAATTTTTGAGCTGCAAAAAGAATTGCCAGTGCCTCTTTTTCAATTTGGGCATATTTTTCTTCAGTTTTAGTCAAACTTCGTGATGCAAATGCCACTGGGTGACCTTCTTGCAATAAACACGCACCTAATCCATCTTTTGAACTATCAGTTTCTATTTCTGATGGTTTTGTTGGATCAAAAAATGACAGGACAGGTGCATTCGTCAGTAAATTTTTCAATTGATGAATAGTTGACTCATGTTCATCACTCCACTGCCATTCTACATCAAGTCTAGTTAGATTTCTTAAAGGCGCAGTAATTTTTGATAAATTAGGAATAAATTTGCCAATGTATTTCACCATGCCTAAAAAGCGTAATAAATCTTTTTTATTTTGAGGATTTGGCATATTCAAGATAGCATTAACATAATTTTGATTTGTTTCAACTCCTTTTTTTGAAAATATCTGGCCCATAAATTTAACACTACTTTGTTTAAATTGCATTTTTGATTTGTTGAACTTTATATTATACTTCAAAGCCCTATCCAATACAAGTCTTAAATTTTCATCATGTTCATTCTCTGTCTCACCTGTGATTATCAAATCATCAAAATACAACCCAACCCCTTTTAGATCACCAAATATTTCATAGTTTTTTTTCTGAAATACTTCGGGGGCAGAGCATATGCCAAAAGCTAGTCTAGTGAACTGATACCTTCCAAATGGAGTACCAAAGGTGCATAGATCTGCACTGGGATCATCTAAACATACTTGCCAATAACCATCCTTCATGTCAAGCACAGTGAAGAATTGTTTATTGCTTAGTTTAGCAGTTATTTCATCTAAGGAAGGAATTAAGAAGTGCTCACGTTTTATAGACTTATTTAAATGTTTTGGATCCAGGCAAAGTCTGAGATCACCATTACATTTCTCCACTATAACTAAAGGATGGATCCATTCTGTAGGTTTGTCTACTTTCTTAATGATTCCTTGTGATTCCATATCTTCTAACTTAGCTCTAAGCCTTTCATGCAAAATTTGGGGCACTCGCCTTATTGGAGTAATTTTTGGTGTAACATTTTCTTTTAAAGTGATATGGTGTTTATTTGGAAAACTTCCCAAACCTTCGAAAGCTCTATGATACTTTTTTACAACATCATCATGAGATTCAAACTTTAGCTTCACACTGTCAACTCTGTTAATCAAGTTTAGGTTGATACAGTCTTTTAACCCTAACAATGGTAATTGATTTTTTGCATTTACTACTACAAAATTAATCAAGGCACTTCTATCTGCCACTTCGCAAGGAAGTTCTACTTCCCCTATTGATTCAAGCTTGAACTGTGGGCTACCATATGATATTAAGGATACATCTGTTTTACGAACCTTACAAGCAGGATTTATAGTTTTCAGGATATCTCCTGGCAAAACATTGACTTCAGCACCTGTGTCAAGCTTGAATTCAATATGCTTACCATTAATAAATACCTTTTTTGTCCACATATTCAATTCAGGACCTCTCAAGGAACCTATACTCTTTTGAATAGAATCTATATAAAACTCATATTCACTTTCACTGGAGCTTTCACTGCCATCTTCCTTTTCCTTTCTATATTGTGCCACTTCATGCACACTCCTCTTCTTTTTCTTGTCGTCTTTCTTGTCTTCTCTCTTCTCTGTTCCTGTGAACTGCTTTTCTGATTTGCACATGCTTGCAAAATGATTTCTCCCTTGGCACTTGGCACATGTTTTGTTAGTTGCAGGGCACTTCTTTGACCGGTGTTTGTACCCACAGTACTTGCAGGTTTTTGTTTCTGCACTACTAGCTGTACTTCTCATCCTCACAGCATGCACTTCTGCCTCATTCTGCAAAGCTTGTGATTGGCTTTTGCTGACCTCTATGGCTCGACAAAAGTTTATGGCTTTGTCTAGACTCAGATTACACTCTCTTAAAAGACGCTCCTGTGTGGTTTTGTCATAAATGCCCATGACAATACGGTCTCTAATCATATCATCAGCTTCAGGATAACCTGTTGTTTTCACAGCTTTTCTCAATTCTGTAACAAAGTTATCAAAAGGCTGTCCTTCTTTCTGTGTAACACTATTAAATTTGAATCTCTCAAATATAACATTCTTCTGTGGCGAACAGTAGTTATCATACTTCAGTTTTATAGACTCCAGTGTCCTCTCTTCACCTTGATTGAAAGAAAATGTGTTATAAAGCTCTAGTGCTTCGTCGCCAATTAGACTCAAGAAAACAGCGATTTTCTTTTCTTCAGGCTTTGTAGATAACTCTGTTGCTATTAAGAATAAATCAAATCTCTGGCTGAATCTCCTCCAGTTTTCAGCTATGTTTCCGTCTAAGACGAGTTGATCTGGTGGCTTGAACAAATTCTCCATCTTGTTCTCTCGTGGTTTCTAGTTTCCAGCAAGTTTGGCTACGTCTAGCGCCTCTGATCAAGTTTTTTCCACAATTATCCAGCTTTGTATTTACCTGACACCATGTATAATATCTTGTGGATCGGTAATAATACAACTAGTTACAAGATGTTATATTATATTGTTGAACTTCCAGAATGTTACAACTAGCACTAACTATAAACATGTGGTCACATCCATGTTCTAGAAAGGAATACCCCATATCCCCTAGTCCCTTATAAGACCAGGCAATGTCGCCTGTCATAATGTCAAGAACGTCAATATGACCTAATGGGACATAGAACACAAAACATATATAAATAGTAGGCAGTAATGCCAACTTACAATTGACATCATAATACATATGCAAAACTACTTCACTAGATTGGGATACTTTTTTCTCAAATTCAAGACCTACCATGTGTATTTCATAAGTAAGACATAATATTATGGAATGAACCAATTCAGTGGAAAAAAGGAAATATCACTTGAAAAAATCAATGATTTTATGAAGTTTCACTTGAAAATGCATGCAGGCCTTTGTTAGATTAACATTTTTAGGAATAACATGAACATAAATAGATATTAGGTGAAAAATATTTTTCTAGGAATGACTGATGATGCAATCATGCTACTGAATCTTCCTACTGGTATTCCTTTTGTGTATACCCTGGATGAAAACTTGAAGCCCATCAAGAGTCTAGAATTCCTAGGAGATCCAGAAACTGTCAAAAAAGCAATGGAAGCTGTCGCCGCTCAGGGAAAAGCCAAATGAACTTGACATTTTTGTGTCAGCAAATAGTGGGAAAAAAATAATTAAAAATTGTCATTTCTCCCACTAAAGAATGGAGTAACTTTGAAAAAGTAGGAAAATGTATTTATTCAATGTCCTCATCTTCAATTAGGAAATTGTATTTAGAGTGTTTTTAGATCTATGGTCCTTATTTTAAGGAATATCCAGGTGTCAAACAAACATAAGAGGAACAAAATATAAACAAATCTAATAATTTATAATGATAAAAACACTTTTTTTCAAAAGCTGTGAAATCTTGTGAATTATTAATTACCTAATTCCATTACACAACAGGAGTTAACAAATATGCAAACATTGAGATAACTAACGCCTACTAATTGAAACATGACCCTAATCAACGCCCAATCACTTATCGATCCTCTTCCTCACTTTCTGAACCCTCTTGTTATTCCCATTGGCCTTGTCCTTGTCCCCCTTTTCCCCCTGGGACTGCCCCGCTAAGAAATTGGACACCATGTCCGACATCTCTGGCAACTCAAACTTGGCCATGTTCTGGATCTGCTCCATTTCCTTCTTGGTCTCCGGGTCGTTCATCATCTTCGGGAGGACCATGACCAGCAGCAGGGGCAGCACCATCATCAGGACCATGGGGTTCATCACTATGTCGGCGATGCGCCATTGTTCGCGCAGCTGGAAGTACCTGGTTTTCCCTGGAACATCCAGATTTTACAAGGACTGGCCTCTATGTCCAACTAAGTTATTCATTTTGTTATCCTAACCCTATTGTTTTTTGGCATTCCTGTCCAGAATCACCTGTACATACATTTATTATCCTTCAATACACAAGACTAATACTAGGTATGGAAAAATTCGCTAACACTATAAAAACAATTGAAGGGGCAAGTGGAAGAAGGAGTTATGTTACAAATATGAGTCTGGATTGAAGGCAATGGTTTAATGAAAGCAAGATGCATAACAAAAAAAAACCTTGATTATGCAATGATTAAATTGTTAGAATTATTGTTGCCATTTGAACTTGAGTGGAAACTCATCAGTGCTGTGGATGAAACATTACTGTTCAGTAATGCACAGAAGACAACAAGTCCTATATATTATGGCTTCATATGGTATTTTAAACTTATGACCTTCAGGAAACTATGTGTACGCCCATGGGAGTTTCCTCATGGATGATGAAAACCTAGGTGAGGTGTCAATTTGAAAAATAAAAAAAGCAAATCACTCTAATTATTGATAGTTTCAGTAAGCCGGTGACCTCTGAGTCGAACTAAGTCATTCACATTCATTTGTTCTAACCCAAAAATTGTTCATAATCCTTTCTCTCACGTGAGTCTCATGGTAGGAGAAACATGGCGTCTTCAGGAAAAAAGTCAGGTTAATGTGTGTGCAAGTCCAACATTTTCTAATTACCTGATCTTGATTCAGTTCCAATATTCAATGTGAAGGTTAATAAGTGTGTTTGAAAAATATCAGGCCCTTTTATTTACGCCGGTATAGAGGCCAGATAATGAGGAATTCATCGGATAAGGGGGCCATACTTGAAGTCAAACGTGCTCCATTATATCTACGCCGGTAACCAGGCCGGATTTGTTGAATAAGAGTATATATATATGATCCAATCTTATGAACACTGATGACTTGGCTTCAAGCCATTTGTGATAGACAGTGTCTTATGTGGCAGTGATAATATAATCATCACATAACCAAGTATTTATTCTTGAAAAATAAAAATTACCTGGAGAAATTGTTATGGAATGGAGAAAGAAACCCAATGAGAAGAAGAAGAAGTATTAACATTGTTTATTATTTGGCTCTTAAGCGGCGTTCACAACCAAACATTTTACATTTGGTATTCTGATTGGTGAAGCAAAATCTGGAATTGGAATGAAGCAAAAAGCTGAAAATATTCAGCTTTTTGCGTTGCAAGAAGCCATCGTCTGAGAAAATAGTAAAAATGGACAAATAATATTGTTATGAAAATGGAAAATACCAATGTTAGTTCTGATAGAACATTCTATATATGGAAGTTATGATAATGTTTTTGCTCATGATTTTTTCGTGAATCCATGGATTATTAGATAGGTATACTGTTTAATTTATTATTTTCTTCTTGAGGATTGATTTCTCTTCAAGTATTGAATATGGATCAATTTACGTCACCACCAGTTCTACCAATATTATTTACTAAATATCTAGTCAATATTATTGTTAAGGTCCAAAGGCAATGCAAAAGAATAGCACTATGATTGGTTCAAAACGCATTCAAGGTTAGAATTGACCAATAGCAGAGCTGCATTTCTTATTTTCTATTTTTTATTCCTCTACATTGTGTCATGACCTTTATGATTATTGAACTCATTCATTTAAGGGTGAAACAGCCACCTTGGGTGAAACAGAAATGACAAAACCAAGGCAACTGAGAAAAGCCATAATAAGTCACCTTAATTTTTTGTTGTTGTGAATGACATTTGCATAAGTTTAATTCATGTTTAATTTCAGATTCTGCTTCACCAATCAGAATAGGAAACATAAAAAGTTTGGTTGTGAACGCCACTTTAGTCAGTGGAGTGGATAATGGTATTAAAAGTACACACATTTTGGGTCAGTGAACAAATGATAATTTCCAAGAAACTGAAAATTAGACATGGCTCACTTTTCACCCCCAGAGAGAGTAAAATGATTTACCCCCATTAGAAAATACAAAAACTCACCAAGCGCTTTCATTCTTAGTGGATAAGGCACCACGACAACTTCAGAAGTCTTGATGTGGTTCACCTTGCGAGCCCTGTACTTCCCTTTAGAATTGATCTCCACTCTGGCTGGTTCGAAGGCATACTCTGGATTGAGGATTTCCACTACATAAGACCCTGCTGGTACATTGTAGACTGTAAAAGAGCCGTCTTTCCTCACGAAGCCCACGTACTCGCCCCCGTTCACGTGCACCCTCGTGCTGGCCTGCCAGTTGGGCTGGTTCTGGGGGTAGTCGGACAGCGGGAAGGCCCTGCCCTCGAGCACGTACCGCGTCGAGTCATTTTCATCTTCAGCGCTGATCTCGGCATTGATTGTGGCCGTGTTATATATGAAAATCGTCGAAAATGCTAGATATAAATAATAATAATTCATTCTTAAAGCAAGTCACCATACGTCAATAACAAGGACTGCTGTCACTTCAACTTGTCAGTCTTGTCACTCTCAGCTGTTCAGGATCTTCTCAACTTCTTTATTTCCATCTTTGCCGGAACAGGAAACAACAGCTATTGTACTATGATCTAAGGGTGCATTGCTCAGCCACAGCTGTGGCAGGTAATAGGTAATGCCGGTTAGAGCCACTGGATGGTATTAGTTAGATGCCGGCTAGTAAGCTACCATCCCAGATCCCACCTCATACTAAGCTCAACAAATTTCCATCATTCTCAACAACAAGATTCCATAAAGCCTAGAGGTAGAAGATGAAATCATTGGATAAAAATACTTGGCTGGATAAGAACACGATGCAGCAAAATAAAAGCAATAAGAAGAAGAACGCACTTTTGACTAAAAATAAAAATGTATTTCCTACGAATATGATGATCTGAATTCTGTGAAGTATACTGCTCTGGTCAGTTCTCTTTGCGGATCTTCTGTTCCGTCCGTATTTACTGGATGGTTTTCTCCGATTGAGTGGCAAGTATCAAACACTGCTTCTTGGATCTGCAACTGAACATCACATTCAAATCGACGTACATTTGAATCAGAAAATATCATCTGAGGAAATACAAAGATGTTGAATCTGGGACATACCTCTGAATAATATTTTCAACGTCTGTAACTAGATTGCTTTCTTTTCGCTTTCTTTCCGTATAGTGGTTTTTCCAGTAGGCATCTTCCACATTTTCAATTACGTACGTGGGTTATATTAAGGACTTTGAAGGCCAAACGATGTGCTGCTCGGATCTAAAATTAAGGATCAATTTCAAATTTGAATCGTGAAACCTACATAGAATATTGGTTATTGTTTTCAACATTCGTAAGTGGAACGCGATATATTTTTGTAATACATCAATTCATCAACTATCTCAATGAAGACGAGACAGGCAGATAAACAACAATTTTCTCTGCAATGAAGAACACTGTATATACCTAACCCACCATGCGTCTACCTCCTTTGCAGAGAGGGTTTATAAACGCCGAGTTGATACTCTCCCCTCGTAAGGGTACCTGTCGTGTTTCCATAAAGACATAAAGCTGAATATCTGTCTATCTGTCTGCTTGAGGATCTGGAAAGGTAATCAATATATCGCCTTCCGTACGAATATGATGATCTGAATTCTGTAAAGTATACTGCTCTGGTCAGTTCTCTTTGCGGATCTTCTGTTCGGTCCGTATTTACTGGATGGTTTTCTCCGATTGAGTGGCAAGTATCAAACACTGCTTCTTGGATCTGCAACTAAACATCACATTCAAATCGAAGTACATTTGAATCAGAAAATATCATCTGAGGAAATACAAAAATGTTGAATCTGGGACATAACTGAATACTATTTTCAACGTCTGTAACTAGATTCCTTTCTTTTCGCTTTCTTTCCGTATAGTGGTTTTTCCAGTAGGCATCTTCCACATTTTCAATTACGTACGTGGGTTATATTAAGGACTTTGAAGGCCAAACGATGTGCTGCTCGGATCTAAAATTAAGGATCAATTTCAAATTTGAATCGTGAAACCTACATAGAATATTGGATATTGTTTTCAACATTCGTAACTGGAACGCGATATATTTTTGTAATACATCAATTCATCAACTATCTCAATGAAGACGAGACAGGCAGATGAACAACAATTTTCTCTGCAATGAAGAACACTGTATATACCTAACCCACCATGCGTCTACCTCCTTTGCAGAGAGGGTTTATAAACGCCGAGTTGATACTCTCCCCTCGTAAGGGTACCTGTCGTGTTTCCATAGAGACATAAAGCTGAATATCTGTCTATCTGTCTGCTTGAGGATCTGGAAAGGTAATCAATATATCGCCTTCCGTACGAATATGATGATCTGAATTCTGTAAAGTATACTGCTCTGGTCAGTTCTCTTTGCGGATCTTTCTGTTCGGTCCGTATTTACTGGATGGTTTTCTCCGATTGAGTGGCAAGTATCAAACACTGCTTCTTGGATCTGCAACTAATAAACATCACATTCAAATCGAAGTACATTTGAATCAGATAATATCATTTGAGGTAATACATAGATGTTGAATCTGGGACACACCTGAATAATATTTTCAACGTCTGTAACTAGATTGCTTTCTTTTCGCTTTCTTTCCGTATAGTGGGTTTTCCAGTAGTCATCTTCCACATTTTCAATAACGTACGTGGGTTATATTAAGGACCTTGAAGGTCAAACGATGTGCTGCTCGGATCTAAAACTAATGATCAATTTCGAATTTGAATCGTGAAACCTACATAGAAAATTGAATATTGTTTTCAACATTCGTAACTGGAACGCGATATATTTTTGTAATTCATCAATTCTATGTTAGATTTGTCGTGACTGGATGGTTTTCTCTGATTTAGTGACAAGTATCAACACCTTGTTTCCCAGATCTGCAAATAAACATGAAATCAAATATCGAAGTCCATACAAATTAATACTGATTTTCATGAGAGGCGCAACATGGATGTTGAATTTGAAACATACCTGAATAATATTTCCAACATTCGTAACTGGAACGCGATATATTTTTGTAATTCATCAATTTATCAACTATCTCTATGAAGGCGTTTCAGGCAGATAAACAACATCTTTCTCTGCAACTGCAATGATACTGCAATACTGCAAAAATAATCTTCCATTTCCACTCATGAAGCAACGTCGTCAATTCATCAATTATAATCAATTTATCATAAAGATTAAAGTTCTGTCGTTGGATAAAACACGAAATAAAACATAATAAGAGTAAAAGCCATGATATTTTAGTACATTCTTGACTTTTTCGAGCAACCAGCATGTCTGTACATCTCTTGTACCCTATAACAAAATATCATGTTGATGTTGAAGACTTGGCAACAATGTGCTGAATGCTGAGAACTGACAAGGCACCGCCCACAATTCGTGCGCCGGGTTGTCACGTTCAACTTCAAATATCCTCTAGTGTGAATTAATATAATAATATTGATATGAAATCAAATGTATTATAAACAATAAGCCAGAATAGATGAGGGAATATTTTGAGACAATTGATTTTTATGTCTTATTAGGAATATAACCAATACAAAATTGAGAATCTATAAATTATTGAATAACTAATATTTCCTAAGTTCCAATCGTATTTCAACTTTTGGCAACTGTGCTATGGTCTGTCCCTACTTACGAAATCGTGACGTCAGTTTTTACTCGCCGTTTGAAAATTACCGTGGCATTATTGTTGATCTCAGCACCTCAAAATCGAATGAAGAATTCTAAAAATATATGAAATTGAAAGTTATTATTTGAGTGATGATTCTATTTAAGAAATAAAAAAATTAGTCAACACGCTTATTTCATTTTTGTGGATGGTTTCATGGCTGTTAGCAAGCAGTGTGTATCACTGAAGATGACTCCACTTGGTCATAGTGTGTACTTTCAGTATATATCTACCGTTCCTGCAAATTTCAGAATCCTAAATGAACAAATACGAAAGATACAGGGATGCTTCCATTAAAAGTGAGACACACTGTGCAATGTTCATCTTGAGTCAATTCTGATCTTCATATCTCTTCATCTGAAGTTTCATCTTCAAAATGAGCCTGAGATATTAAAAATCGGTTGGGAAAGAAAAAAGTTATGACTGCAAAACCTAAAAGTTAATTTCTCGATATCACTCTGTAAGTAATCACCTTATCCAGGAATAGGAATGCGGGCTGGATATAAATATATAATATACCATATACAATTAGTACAGGGTATTTCGAGACAAATTTCCACTCTGAGTATATGGATAATAATAAGAGTTTGACAAGTGGTATGTGACCATTCCAGAGAAATTTTGAGAAATTAAAAATTTTCTATGTGAAAATTGGCAATTGCGGTAACTAGCCTAGCACAGTCAGCGATACGGATTGACAAATTCTTTTTGGGTTTGAATCGCATACATTTTTATTTATATGAAAATGGATCAAAGGATTTCTAGATGTATCGAATGGTATCGGCTCAAAATACCTATCAGATACTATCACTCATAATAAAATGATGATAATGGGGGGAAATCTATGACTAATGATGATGAAATTATACGGGGGGAAAAGATATATAATATACAAAATATAAGATGAAGTATTGAACACGGATATACTCTGACAGTATTATTTTCGAAAGTCTAATGATTGAACACAGGCTGAAAATATAATCTTTCCTAAAATCTCTAGATATTTGTTCTATTTTGTTCTATTTTGCTCTAGATATGTTTTGATAACTGGAAAGAGTAGGAAAATAATGAACAATGTGGCCTACTTTTTATAAGCGCGCATCACATTTGACATTTGTGTGTGTGAAAATGTGATGAGCACACGAAAATAACTAAACTAATTGACAAATTATTCTACGGAACAAAATCCATAGCCCTCGGCTACCGCCATTATTCACGCCGCAGGCCATAAACGCCTTCTTACGCCCTTGATACATAAATAACTATAACGTCAATTTCCATCAAGGGACCCTACATAATGTATGTACTCGACTATTTTATAAGGATGTGCCACTTTCCATTTGAAGAAGGAAATCGTCGATTCGTCTATTTCTATCGCAACCTAGCAGAACCGAAACTCGAATGACATGTTCATGGAAATTCCACTGAATTTATGATTAATTTCCGTTTATTACTATTCTATTACTAACTTCTTATCACAATCAACTGATTGAGTTACCATTAACGCTCATCGTGAAAAACCCTGCATACTATTTCGCGATATGCACTAGATTCTTGCGTGTAACTGATACGAGCACCGTTGAAGAAGGTGAATCAGATAGCAGAAGTGACACAGTTGTTGTCGATATCACCTGTCAGAGTGTGGAACAATAGATATTAACTAAAATCATTAGTGTTTCAATAGTTATCCTAACAAAATCGATTTATTTTCTCACAAAGTGCCTATCACTTGTTAGGGAAGATTCCATTCGAAAAAATTTTCGCGGACGTCATTACTCAAAAGTGAATAACCCTGTTTATTTAATTTTCCCCTTATAAATGTAGAAAATTGAAAACAAGAATCGTCTTATCTCAGAAGATTCCTCAGGAATGGATAATTTGGCTAAAAATGAATTATTTCAGTATTTCACGAAAACACTGTATAATATGAACTAAATCGCTCTTGTGAGAAGACGAATTCTCAGCATGGATTGCTAGATTAATTTTTTGTTCCTTGGTCCTTGGAGTAGGTTAGAAATAGATTTATTTTCTCGCAAAGTGCCTATCACGTGTTAGAAAAGATTAAAAGACTCACCAGTATGAAATCTGCATGTAGTCCACATATGAATTCACAAAACACTTCACACACAACACCGACACAACACAGAATAACGCGATGTAATCATTATACCGAACGATGTATTCGATAGACCATTATCACTCTTTTACACAGTTGTAGAATTAAAACAGTTCTTTTTCTACGGCAATACCACAAAATTGTTAAATTATTGTCCTTGTTTTAATGAGGTACTCTGTATGTCATCAATTTCATTTCCGTATCTAATATCACAATGACTTATTTGTGTTATTATTATTTCACAAAATTTCATCTCCCATGAAATGTCAGATTTCAAGCAATAACAGTTCTGTTCAATAGATGAGCATTACTTGAGAGAAAATCAGATGGCTACAAGCCGAATAAATTTGAACTGTCACTGCTATCTGTTACAGCCATAGAAAAAGTATAGTGTATAGCTCGCACGGAATGCAAATTTCCGTGCTCGTTAAACAATACAGGTTTTTCACAATGAGCGTTGATTATAAGTTTCTGGCAAACCAAGTAACAGATGAATCTGAAAGTTTGATGGTATATTCTAAACTCGATTCTAAACGATGCGGTGTTGCCGTTTCTATTGGGAAGTAACAGCCACTTTTATTCTACAAATGGAACACCTTGTATTTCATTGCATTTATTGAGATTCTCTCTGAAAAGTTGATTTCATTAATGTATCACACTGGGGGGTCTAGTGGGAATGATTACAGAAAAATAGGGTGGTCAAAATCGAGATTTTTCAACTTTAGGATTTGTTTGGGTCGAAACCCATTACTTATTCGTCGAAGCGGCCATCTTAATTTTTGATTCACTATTTACTGACATTTAGTTGGAACAGATACAGGGTGATCAGAATTCTGAATCATATGAACCACCATGTATTTGTTCTGATTAAATGACAGTGGATAGTGAATCGAAAGTTGATATAGAGACATGGAAGCCGTTCGAACTAATAATGTATATTTAGTTTCGACACAAAAAGTCCTAAAGTTGAAAAATATCGATTTAGAACACCCTTTATCTCTGTAATCGTTCCCGATAGACTACAAGTGTGATACATGATGAAATCAACACTCTAGGAAGAATTTAAAAATGCAATGAGATACAGGGTATTTCATTTGTAAAATCATATATAGTTGTTGCTACTTTCTAGGAGAAGCGGCAACGCCGCATTGTTCAAAATATTTTAGACCTGTACAATATGTCAATTTATGAAAACCGTAAGATTTTCAGATTCATCAGTTGCTTGGTTTCCTGAAACTTCTAATTAACGCTCATCGTGAAAAACCCTGTATACTATTTCGCGATATGCACTAGATTCTTGCTTCAAACTGATACGAACACTTCAAGTAGACCGACCGTACACGATGACATCTAACATAAGACTAACACGATTCACAACCTCGTCCCGAATGACTAATTAGTTGCGTCACCTTTCGATCCTATCAATTCCCGAAACAAGTATTTATCTATGACTAATAATAATAAGTATGATATCTGAATTACACTGGGTGGTGAGATGGTGGGAATGTACTGCAGATATACAGGGTCATTTGAAACGATAATCTCAACTTAAATGCGGACTTTTGATCAAATTTCTAAATTCTGATGAAATACAGTATTTTCGTATCAACTTATTACTCTGAATTATCATTGAAAATCACATTTGAGGGATAACTAGGTGTATATTATAAAATTAAATTTGATACATCACACATGTTACTTGCCGGTTCAATTTCAACTGATTAAGTTACTATTTATCATGCGAATTAATTGGTAAAATGAAATTCAGAATTGAATGTAGCAGGAGCATTATGAACTAACACGGTATTATATTATTTTTAGGGGAGCCTGATAAACGGTTACAACATTCAAGAATGGCAACAGGCGCGCAAATTGCCCACTTTCACTGCGGGGCAGTAGTTACAAAAACTAAAAAAACACGATCTTGTAGTTAGTTCCTATCATTAGTTTGACTATCTATAAAAGCGTGTTTATTTAGTTTTCCAAATTACGTTGAGTAGATAATTACTAATTATTTTTTGAATCTACGGATTTTGACAAATATACAGGGTGTGGAATATGTGTGCAGAAAACACCTCATTTCTGATTAAACCAGGAGTAATAAATATTTTTCTCTTTCGAGATTTTTCAATTTTTTCTTGTTCTACACAGTGGCCAATGTTGATTTTTGGTAGCTAGGTTTCATATTGTTGTAAATATGGTACAGTCATCAGGTCTTTTAAATGAATCACCCTGTATATTATTGCAATCATATATTCTTCCTGAAGAGCTGATTTTATCAATATATCACACTTATGGGGTCAAATTTACGATTTTTTTGGTCGACACTATTGATTATTGGTCAAAACAACCATTCATTGCATCTTACTTCTGATTTAATATCTACTGACATTTAATTGGAACAAATACAGGGTGCTCAAAGATTCAGAATTCTGATCACCCAATTGGTATGGGATGGCATAATTCTTATCTCCTTATGAAATCGCGAAATCTAGTGCAAATTTCAGCTCAGGGAAGTGCAATTTTTCAATCATTCTGCTCAGGATAGTGATTGGCACAGGTGCCGTTCGATAAAGTTTGAAAAACTGAAGTTGGTGCTGATATCTCAAATTCTAGAAGAGTTGGTATAAATTTTATATTTTTTTCGAAATCACTTTGAAAAACTGCCATGAGAATGTGAAATTCCTATTTGAATATTTTCATAAATAAAGAAGTTACGGAGGAGACATGGAAATGATCAAAATCTGTTTTTTGCGTATAAAACAAAAACGAATAGATTTTTTCACTTTATAGTTGGCCTTGACAAACTCCACATTTGGTGTCATTTGACCGACCTCGTATCTCTCACCGTTAAAAAGATACCCATGGTGAGCATGGAAAGTGGGACACACTGTATATTGTGATATTTTGGCCAGTCATGAGCTGGCGGACTATCAGCCCTCCAAAAAATTACGTTGAGTTTTGGGACACCCTTTATACTATATATCCAATTTGGATAAATTTCAAATGAATGTAAATAGACTTGACATCTATGACTCGACTGCACATAGATAGTTGTCAAAAAAATCAAGCAAAATTAGTTGTGACATTCCGAAAAAAATAACTTTTCAAATAAATTTTTCACTGAGAAACCACCCATGACCCCCTTTGCATTTGCAAACTATCAACCATGCAACCAGGCAAATTGAATGACATAGTGAAACCACTCTGCTGGCTGATGGGTACTTGGAAATCAATCAGGTAATTTCATCTACACCGAAAATTGTTTGTGCGAAAATAGAAATTATTGTGCAGTGCCAGAGTGAGCTATCCCACAATGAAGTGTCCAGTGGACTACTGCGAGAATCTGGTGTTTGAATCAGTGGGACAACCTTTACTGAATTATCATTCCCTTACTTGGAACCCTAAGGATAAGTCTCCAATGCACTTGGAGTCTGGATTCCTCAGGATAGACCAGGATGGTTGCAGTGTAAGTATATAGGCATGCATTCATGAAAATGGTGTAGATTAATATAAATTGGTCAACATTGATAACGTCGTGGTCCAAAATATAGCATGAATTCAAAGCATAATAACTCACGGATTTCCTTACCAATTTGAAATCGGTTTTCACCGATAATTAGCCTAATCTCTTGATATTTTGTTGTGGCAATATGAAACTTCTGTTTTTTCAGATAAAGCAATGTTATCTGAAAAAACAGGGTGGTTTACGTTCAAACATATTCTTTGTCATCCCGGGACAATCTGGAAATATTTTTTATCGCACCTGTATATCCATCGTCCTTTATGTTTTTACTTTCCCGAAAAGGCTTTTTAAAAAAGCACTTTATATTTCGAGAGACAAAAATTATTTATTCAATCAGTTATTACAATATAAAAATATACGTCTTTACTCTACCAAGATCATGTCTATTCTGAATTGCGGTTCACAAGGCATCTCGTTCTTTCCTTGAAGTCGGATTTCTGCTGATGTTGATGTCAGCAGGTTCTCACGGGAAACCGGGTTGCTGCTTACATAACTCCTCCATCCCTTAGAAGGAACTCGAGGGTGGAACAACTTGAGTTTCGTTGATGGCCATCCTCTGGGGTTCTTGTGTTCGTTTCTTGCAAAACCATGTCTGGACTCTGCTTCTTTTGGCGATGCATAGGTAGGCTAGGACGCACATGACAAGCGTCGCGACGCTCCCAATGGACCATAGGGAATATCTTCTGTGAAGGCTGATCGTCTCAAGGGGTTCGTCTTGTAGTTGTTGTAGTTGAAGCTCGTGTAGTTTATCAAGGGAAACTTTCTCGAGTCGCAGTTTTTCAACATGAAGAGTTGTCATATTGAAAGCTTTGATTTCTTCCAATAAAATGGGATGTCCTATAATGACACCTTTCTCATTCTTGTAGCTGTAGGTTGGTGTTTTTATGGAACATGCTGGTGGAATAACAAAGAGGTACGTGCCACGGACTATGGCCACATTGTTTTCTTTGCAATCAAGATGGAGTTTCTGATTTTCTGGGAAAATACCAATATAATGGGATTCGTTGATTTCTTCAATCAACTGTCGACTGACGTGGATCGGAACTTGTTGGCAGCTGATTAAATTGCTTTCGGCAGACAGAAGTGATGTAACGCAATCCAAGTTCTCTCGAAGGGGTAGAAGATGGTTCTTCTTGCAGAGGTAGTTTGGTCTAAGCTCAATGCATTCTTCGTTGTGGTATTGATAGTCTTCGTTGCTCAAGGTTATGTAGGTTGCAGGAGGTATAATTATTGATTGGTTTCGATTAGGAATTGGGAAAAGGTGGTAATGTTCAAATGTGCTAGGGTGAACCAAAGGGAAGTCAAGTGAAAATATCATTTTGTCATCAGATATAAAAACGCTGGTTTCTACTATACTATAATATTTGAGGTACTCGTCTAAATGAAACAGCATTTGCGATTCAGTATGCGATTTATATAATTCATTTATTATTTCTTTGAGATCTTTTGGAGAAACAATACTATGATGTAGAGTTCTAAGGTATGCGAAACTCACAGCATTTTCAGTTTCTGAAAGGAAATTTAGGAGTGAATCAAGATTAAGTTTAATTTGGTCCAATATATCATGAATTGTCAAATAATGGGAAAATAGCAGAGATTGATCATTTAGGGCTTTTGTCAACAGATTAATTTTATTTTCGATTAAATTTTGATTTTTCTCGAAAGTAGTCATCGTGTCATTGATATTATTCATCAGATTAGCTGTTAATGAAATATGTTTGTTCACTTTCTTGATTATTTTGTTCTGATTGTTTTCGAGTTCCGAAATGCTACCATAGATTTCTTTCGCGTCTTCTTGGTCAAGATTTCCAGTGAAAAATTTCAGAAGTGATCCTGCTGGATTTACTAAGCCTCTTTTTGTTCTCTCTTTAGGAAATAGTGAGTTCATTTTCCTATTTACTGTGTTTACTTCATATTCAAGACGATTATAAATATTTTGTAGATTATCGGTTCTAATAAGATGACGATTGTTGATCAGCGTACCCAAATGGTTGTACTGATCGGTTGTTGATTGAATTTGTTGACGTAAATAATCAATTTTGATATAGTGAAGGAAGGTATGGGAAGCGATCTTTATTCTGGCGATTCCGAGTTTGAAAGGGAGAATACCAGGGTTAGTTTCTAGACTGTGTATCTGAACTTCCTGAGGTTTCGTCAGGTGAAGTGTCATCAACCTGCAAAAGGGGATTGTCTGTCATTTTTCTGGGCGGTTTGAATACTTGTTTGTGGTAGGTATTTTGTGGTGTTGTCACTGTTAGGTCGTTACTTTTGGTCACGTGTTCAGGTCGGTAGAGGGGATTTGTTTTGGATTGTCTATCAGTCAATTTTCTATAACCAATTCGGCCAGGTTCGATATCTGGTGGGTCTTTGCGTTTTTCATTTAATTTGGAAATTACGTTCGTTTTCTTCTCTGACATTTTGTCATGAAGTTTACTATATAGGTCGGACATTATTTCTTTATGTTCATTGATGGTGTGATTGATTATTTCTGATTGATTATCGATATCTATTGGATCTTTTAGTTCTAAATGTCCCAATAAGAGATCAACTGGTTTTTGTTTGGTAGCCGAATGAATAGAGTTATTGTATCCTAAAACTGCATAAGTAATTTTTTCGAATGGATTCAGTTTTGGTTTGCTCAAGGCAAGAGTGCGCATATGTTCAAGAATTGTCGAATGAAATCTTTCTACGATTGAATTACTATTTGGATTTAGTGGTAAGGTGAAATGCCAGTTAATTTTATGAACTTTAGAAAAATCTTTCAAGATACTCTGCGTGAATTCTGTTCCGTTGTCGGATATAATATTTTCTGGGATTTTGTATGACGTAATAAATTGTAAGAGAGATTGATAGACATGAAGTGCAGACAGACTAGGTAAAATGTATGCTTGTCCAAATCGGGAAAAACTATCACAAATTGTGAGAGCTATTGCCTTGTCAAATTTGAATGTATCTACATGAATGGTTTCGAAAGGTTTTTTCGGTGTTGGTGTCAGTTGAATTTTAATAAGTGGGGGATGACGTTCATATTTCACTTGTTGGCAAATAGAACAATTATTTACGAATTTCCTGATGTCATCACTTAATTTTGGCCAGTAATATTTAATTTTCAGTTCATTAATAGTTTCGTGAATACCTCTATGATTCGTAATGCCTTCATGAGTTGACTTGATCAAATTTTGTTGTCTGTTTTCATTAGTAACGTCAAATAAAAGTTTATTAGATTTTAAAATTTTGAAAGCTGAATTTTTGAATATTTGGGGTAGAAAAACGCATATTTCTTTATAAAGCTCTTGATTTCCATCGTTCTGAAAATACAAGACATATTGTCGTTTTGCGCCACCAAAGTCTTTAAAGAATTCAACAACTTGTGCTTGAAGTGTTTCGTTTGTCACATAGAGATACCATCTTGTTCGGCTCACTGGATTTCCGAAAATTTTCTTAGTTTCGAAACGTGGATTTTGATCAACTTTTATTATGACTATCTGACAAAGAAAATAATTCAAAGGTTTGTCGGTTATATTTATGGTCAAAATCGGGTTTTCTGCACTTGTATGTACAGTCTGATTGTCGTCATTTTCGTCAGGGTCTACTTGTCCTATCATTGATTGATTATCAGGTTCGTTACTAGTGGAAGGTCTAGGATTTTCGTCTAAAATGGGATTTTCATTATATTCTTGCATGTACTGTAGTATGGGAATGTTTTCTGTGATATTTTCGTCGTTAGTCTGTGTATCAGTGGGGTAGATTTCTACTCTAGAGAGGGCATCCGCGTTTGTGTTCATTTTTCCTTTTTTGTAAATTATCTGGTAATCATATTCTTCAAGTTTTAATCTCCAACGAACTAAACGAGAGTTTGGCTCTTTGAGAGACATAAGCCATTGAAGAGGTTTGTGGTCTGTTATAATTTTGAATTTTCTGCCAAACAGGTACGGCCTGAAATATTTTGTAGCCCACACAATGGCTAACAATTCTTTTTCAATTGTCGAGTAATTTTGTTCTGAATCATTCAATGTGCGTGATGCGTATGCGATAGGTTTGTCTTGTCCAATAGGGCCCTGTGAAAGAATGGCACCTACGGCAATATTACTCGCGTCTGTTGTCAGGATGAAGTCTTTTGTCAGGTCAGGATATTGAAGGATTGGGTCATTGGTCAGGAGAGATTTACAATCTTCAAAAGTTTTAATATAGAGTGGATCATTGATATTGATTTTGGCTCCTTTTTTCAAACATGAAGTGAATGGTTTCGTGATCTTAGCAAAATTTTGAATGAATTTTCTATAATAGCCTAAAAGTCCGAGGAATCCTTTGATTTCTCTCGTAGTTTTTGGAATAGGATAGTTGATAATAGATTTGATTTTATCCGGGTTCGGTTTAATACCATCGGGAGTGATGATGTGCCCTAAGAATGCTACTTCAGTCCTCAGAAATTCTGATTTATCAAGTTGCACTTTTAGGTTACTCGCTCGTAGTTTTTCGAAGACTAATTTCAAATTTGTTAAATGTTCCTGTAAAGAGGTGGAAAAAACGATTATGTCGTCCATATAGACAAAGCAAATTTTATTTTGTAAATCTTTCAAGACGTTATCCATGACTCGTTGAAATGTGGACGGGGCATTTTTAAGTCCGAAAGGCATGCGCAAGTATTCGTAATGTCCATGCTCAACATTGAATGCAGTTTTTTGGATATCATCAGGATGCATTTCAATCTGATGAAAGCCACTTGCCAAATCCAAAGTCGAGAAATACTGGCATCTGCCTAATTTGTCAAGGATGTCGGATATGTTTGGGATAGGATATCTGTCGTCAATTGTCTTCTCGTTAATTTTTCTATAGTCGACCACTATACGCCATTTTTTCTTGCCTGATGCGTCAGATTTTTTGGGGACTATCCAGATCGGGGAAGACCAAGGAGAGTCACTGGGTCTGATAATTTCCTGTCTGAGCATTTCATTAATTTGTCGTTCAACTTCCGGTTTATGAATAAAAGGATAGCGGTATGATTTCGAATAAATAGGTGATTCGTCTGTGGTTCTTATTTTGTGTTTGACTTGATTTGTGAAAGTTAATTTTGAATTTTCGCGGTGAAATATATCTGAAAAAGAACGGCATAATTTTTCTATGTGATATTTTTCTTCTTGATTCATGTGCTCAGTTCGTATAAGTTGCGTAATGTCGGGGTTTTGTATAGTTTCGTAATCTGTGTCTGGTATTGTCAAATGGTAAAGTTCAAAGTCATTATTGTCAAATCGTTTTACTGGTACCGGTTTATAAAGAAAGATTTCTTGAACGCCACTGGTGTTATTGTGAATATCAACAGATGCATATCCTAGATGAGCTATAGTCAGACATTCGCGGATAATGCACTTTGACATATGAGTTTCAGGAATTGTAATAGTACCTTCTGGTATCGCGACTGGAATTTTAACTGATTCTATGGAAAATGGTTCGATTCGTGCGAAAAATAAAAGTTTGCCTTTTGTTTCGTAGTGAGCTATCGAAATTTGGGCAGTGGGTGTTTTAATAATCGAATTTTGAATATCTATTTGAATATTAAGATCTTTTAGAGTTTCGTAACCAATTAAACCATCGAAAAAATGATGAAATTTAAACAAATAAAATTTTATTTTCTTATCTGAATTGAATTCGCTGAAGGCTGGAATTTCGGCACACTGATCTCTGCAAGTTGTTTGAAATATTGATGATATTGTGAATGGTTCCTTTTTTATGAAGTCGTTATAATAGTTTTCTGCAATTTCGGGGTTCAAAAATGATTTGGTAGCTCCTGTGTCAATTAATAATTTTAATGGGGGATTTGAAATTTTGATATATGGGAGGTCTTTTCGGTCATAGATTGAATGAATTTCTATGTGTTGGTTTCTGAAGAGTCTATTTGTTGAAAATTTTGATTAGGTTCATCGATTGGTTCTGATTGATATTCATCATGATTAGGATTTTGGTAACAAATTTGATTTTGAGAAGTGCTCGGTTCATTTTGATAGTCAAAATATTGGTCATCGTAATAATGATTTTGATATTGGCTGTCAAAATATTCTTCGTCAATTTGTGAGTCTACGTTATATACTTCTTCAGGGGTAGAGTTCATTCGGGGTTGTTGATGAAATGTGTTTGGTCTATCGTCATTTCTTTGTCGAGGTACAGTTCCATAAGAAATTCCGCTCATTGGGGTAGGTCTAGGTCTAGTTTGATTTTGTGGGTTTGATCTCCAAACATTACTTTGATTTCGGAAAGGTCTTTGGTTTCCAAAAACTTGACTGTTTGTGAAATAACGTTGTGGAGGGGCAGGCCTTGTTTGAATTTGTACAGGACCGCGTGGAAAGTTAGAATTTTGGAAGGTTGGTCGTGGGATATGTTGAGGTGGATTTTGGAAGTTATTTTGCGAATAATTATTGAACTGATGATGATTTTGAAACTGATTTTGATATCCATGATTGTATTTCGGATTTTGTCTCGGTTTGAACTGATCGTTAATAGGTTTTTGCAAATGACGAATATTACTTTCAGAAATTATGTATTGCCTAGCTTCTGCTAAATCGTTGGGTTTCATTGCTCTGATTGTCGAACCTAAGGGTTCTTTCAATCCTGCAAGGAAAATTTTCAATGCATGTGTGTTATAAAAAGTTTTCTTCACTGTCTTGTTATTTGGATTATTTTCATGTGTATCAAGGTAATTGTGAAGAGCGCTTAAATTCGACATAATACGAGTATAAAATTGTAGAGGAGATTCATTGTTAGTTTGTCGCAATTGGTCCAAATCAAAAAGTAATCCGTTTTCATCTCTCTGATCGCCAAAATGGGCTATAAGAGCGTTTTTTACTGATTGCCAGTCTTTTGCAATACAAATACTGTAAACTTCGCGTGCTTTTCCTATTAATTTTGCATAAATGCCGTAAATTAATGTTGTTTTCTGAACACCATTGATATTTGCGGGATTCGGGTCCCAATATGTATTGATTAGGGTAGTAGCTGTATCCAAGTATGAAGATAACTCTAATGGATTTCCGTCAAATTTCGGAACAATCTCTAAAAGTTTGGTTTCAAAATGTGGGATTGACATATTGTTTGATACTTTAGGTGAATTACTATCTTCTGTTATGTTCAAGACAGAAAGAAGTCTGATTATTTCTGACTCTGATTCTAAATTTGCAATTGGGCTTATTCCGGTATCTAAATCTAACTCGCGATCTATATTTTCACTTGAAAAATCTGAGGGCGAGGAGAATGACATAAAATCTTGGAAGGAAAATAAATGATATGAGCAACTTACATCAAAACGAAGATTTTCATTCCTGCTTCGACGAGACTGCTTTTTCTTCTACTTCTGCTTTGTTTCTGCCAGTTGGGGTCCTCGATGGAGCACTGGGTTCTTCTGGTTAAACAGTTGAAACTGACGGGTTATTTTCGATAAATTCCCTTTTCAGAATCCTACCGACTGCGCCACTTTATGTTTTTACTTTCCCGAAAAGGCTTTTTAAAAAAGCACTTTATATTTCGAGAGACAAAAATTATTTATTCAATCAGTTATTACAATATAAAAATATACGTCTTTACTCTACCAAGATCATGTCTATTCTGAATTGCGGTTCACAAGGCATCTCGTTCTTTCCTTGAAGTCGGATTTCTGCTGATGTTGATGTCAGCAGGTTCTCACGGGAAACCGGGTTGCTGCTTACATAACTCGTCAAGAATAAATATAAATTTCATACTTCTGGAACTACAATCGTGATTGTTTGAATTTTATAATTCATCTCAACGAAAATGGATCATTTTGATTAAAAATGTGTACCTTTATTATATGACCTTCGATCCGAGAATTAATTACAAAACCATTCCGAGGTCAGACACCAGACATCCACACGACGAAGTAACACTCCATTATTTCACTACACCTTTTCCAGATGTATTTCAGAAAGCGTCAATTTAATTTCAGAATAGTCACTTGTATTTCAGAAAGCGTCAATTGTATTTCAGAATAGTCAATTCAATTTCAGAAAGCGTCAATTGTATTTCAGAATGATCAATTCAATTTCAGAAAGCATCAATTGTATTTCAGAATAGTCAATTGTATTTCAAAGAGTCAATTGAATTTCAGAAAGTGTCAATTGTATTTCAGAAAGTATCATTTGAATTTCAGAAAGCGTCAATTGAAATTCAGAAAGCATTAATTGTATTTCAGAATAGTCAATTGAATTTCAGAAATCTTTCTCTATAGACTGAAAGCCAGCGACCGCCAGACGCCATTTCAACAAGGTTGATATTTTCTATGTGTGGTATACCTTATTCGGTGGAATCGTTTTGTGGGTTGAAAATCTTCAGTACTGGATGAGCTTTTAAGAGATACCGGGTGTTGAAAGTACAAAAAAAACTGGCATAAACATCATTTCAACAAAAGCTGATCTTTTTATGTTCAACCGGATCCTATCATGATAGAGCAGAGTATACAATTGCCAGACACTTTCCACGGGGTGTTCTCCTGCCAGAGGCAACTTATTCATAAGTCGTGAAAATATTTTGACATTTACGTCATAGCAACAGAGCTTGATTTTGTTAATGTTATCAAGGAGGCTATTCTACAGTATCATTCAAACAGCCAGTCACTTCCGATTGGACAAACATGTAAAAATCAGAACTTTTTTATAGCAATAGAAAGAAGTTTTATCTCTGATTGAGTGATTGTCCCCTCTATACCTGAAATTCTGTGATCTGTTCATCAAATGGTATATGTATAGAAAAAATTTGGGGTGAATAAATTGAAAACATCACTACAGGAAGCACAGAACATCCTATGCATTCTTACATGGAGTGCACTTTCTACTAACTAATCGATCTTGATGCATTCTGAAATTCAATTGACGCTTTCTGAAATTCAAATGATATTTTCTGAAATGCAAATGACGCTTTCTGAATTTCAATTGACTATTCTGAAATACAATTGACGCTTTCTGAAATACAAGTGACTATTCTGAAATACAATTGACTATTCTGAAATACAATTGATGCTTTCTGAAATTGAATTGACTATTCTGAAATACAATTGACGCTTTCTGAAATTAAATTGACTATTCTGAAATACAATTGATGCTTTCTGAAATTGAATTGACTATTCTGAAATACAATTGACGCTTTCCGAAATTAAATTGACTATTCTGAAATACAATTGACGCTTTCTGAAATTGAATTGACTATTCTGAAATACAATTGATGCTTTCTGAAATTGAATTGACGCTTTCTGAAAAACATCTGGAAAAGGTGTAGTAACACAGAGAAAATTACGTTTCATTTACTGAAGACTACGTTATTCTCTATTCCATCATTCAGTATATTTCATGTAACACTTTGTATAGATTTCTTCAGAATTACACAATCACATATCCGACGACTATACATACAACGTTGATTTCGTTGATTCTTGGAAGAAGAATTCCAACTCCCAATTTCAATCAATTGAACGTCGAAAAAATGCATCATTTTGAATTTGGAAATTCCGAAAACGTTGAAAGCATCAATCAAGAGGATACCGTTGAGAGTTTTTCTACTTTGAATTCATGCTATATTTTGGACCACGACGTTATCAATGGTGACCAGTTTATTCCACAGCATCACAAAAAATTACTAGAATGTTTCTATTTCAGGTATCATTTCTTATTGCCCAAAATTTCGGGATAGCCACAGTGGAAGAGGGCTGTGTAGAGGGCAGTAGTATCTCCACCGAATCAAAATCGATCGGCAGTACGAATTTTATTAAAGGTCAAGTAGTTGCCATTCACAGGAACTATTGCTTGAATGAACAGGGTCAGTTGGTGTTCAAAATGAAACTGCAAACACCCAAAGTACCCCTCACTGATCACTTGCATGTTGTTTATGAAAAAGAGGATTGTAAGCCAGAAAAAGAATAATGTACAGGTTGTTCTATTTACTATTGTATATTTATTGCTGACTGAAATAAAGAAGAAACGTGATTTCATGCAGAACTGTAGTTTTTATTGAACTCATGTACACACATTGTGGAGAAAACTGTTCCCACTTGACAACAATAATAATTATATTCAATTTCTCATGTCAGACTATCTGAATATTGAAAATATGAGCAGAATGAAATACTTTGAATTATCTCAAATTTTAATACACATTGAAGGAATGTTCCAAATTCCATAAAAATACACAGTTTCAATATGAAGCACATGTTAGTTAATATTGATTTGCAAAGCACACCAAAATTGTAAAAAGAACCGTTTCAATTCAGTTTTTGAAAAATAAATAACACTTAGGTCTTTATACTTATCACAATATTGCATGCATAATAACTTGATAACCATAAATCACAACAAGTAATAGATGCAAAATCAGTGCTAACCCCACAATTTCTTAAACAAATAACTTATAATTTCAATATCACATTAATGACTAATGCATATTGATCCCATACATTTGAAAGTAGGGATCAGGGACCAGGGTTGCTACTAAACATTGTACTATTCATTATTTTTGAGTCTCAAAAGAAAATCAAATGGTTAGGTATTAATAATCAGTCAATCTAGTTGATGTTTTCAAACTCAATGAAAAAGAGTACAAACTTCGTTAGTTCCCACCCAATAACAATGACAAAATGGTAAATACTCGAATATTCATGTTACAATTATATCAATTCATTTCAGTAAGGCACAATCATTCATTTTTCTCGAGTGACATAGGTGAGTAAGTATTTTAAATCTATTATTATATGTGAAAATATGAAAAAATAGTTATTTTACCAACTAGTGTATTGATGAAGGCGATTGATGATCAAGATATTTTAACGTGCGAGCAAAGCGAGCGGGTTATTGATATAGATCATTAATCGCCTTATCAATTTACAAGTTGGTTAAACAATTTTTTCCGTCGACTTTATTTTTTCCTCTTACAATGAAGAAAATTTGTTTGGTGAATACAATATTATTCATCCAGAAACTAATAACAATCACACATTAGCCATAAAAGTCAACTTGTCACTGACATCAGCGACATTTGGAATTTGTCGAAATTATCAGCATGGAGAAAAAATTCCTTTTATGTGTTAGAAAACAGGGATTAAAATCGGTTCAGGAAAGTTAAATGGCTGACCCATCAACATGAAATCTTCAAGTCCATATTTTCGATTTAAATGCAGATTCGGTAAGTTATAATTCCAACAGTGAAACTGCGCGGTGTATGTTTGGTTGTCTATATCACAATCGTTCGTCAATAAACAAATTGATCGTGTATATTATCAAACATGGAAACAATGACGATGGGTTTGATTCGCCGTCAGATACGCAGATACCACAAGGCATTGGTGAATAGTATTCCTATGAAGAGACCATAATGGGAATAACGCTTGTGGAGAAATTTTGAACTTAAACATATCCTAAGTTTTCATCATCAGTTTTCATAGCTATCCAACCAAATTTTTTGAATCTTAACAAAAATTAACCGCGACCAATCTAATGATAAGACTCCTAGTCCGCTCCTGAAAAGCAACACAGAAGACCTTCATCGAGCAAAAATAACAGTGCATGGACACGATCTTCTCCTTAACAGAAGTATTAATTTATATTTACAGAACCCTGAACATAACCCAAGTTTTTTTTTACGTTTTCGTCATCAGTTTTCAAGGTTACCAAACAAAATTCACCGTATCTCGCCTCAACAAAAATCAACCGCGTCCTACCTAACGATGGGAATCCGAGTCCGCGCCTGAAAAGCGACGGTGAAGCACTTCATTGAGCAAAAGTCTGGTAACATTCCATGGGCACAAACATCTCTTCCTCAATGGAAGTATTTGTACTTACAGAACATAATGGGAATCATATATCTACTACTCATATATGAATCATAGCTGTCCTCAAAGCGGGACCAACTTCTGTCTCTATAGATAACGAAATCGACCAATAGGCGTTGATGCCGACGTAGGGGAAAAAATAATACGAAACTTGTTAAACCAATCCATCCTCAACTTTCCTCTCATTTTGGTCCCATTTTTGTTGAGATATCGTATTGGCGATGTGCCATATTATATAGAAATAGTACATATATAATGGGAATGAAGGTATTTTAGACTTAAACATAACCCTATTTTTTGACGCTTTTGTCATCAGTTTTCAAGGTTACCCAACAACATTCAGAATTTAGCGCATCTCGCCTACGCAACAAAATTTAGGAGACCCAGACTCAACAAAAATCGACGGGGTCCTACCTAACGATGGGATTCCGAGTCCGCACCTGAAAAGCGACGGCGAAGCACTTCATCCAGCAAAAGTAGCAGTCCATTGGCACAAACATCTTCTCCCCCACGGAATTATTCGAACTTACGACTTACAGAACATAATGGGAATGGAGGTACTTTAGACCTAAACATCATAACCCAAATTTTTTGACGTTTTTGTCATCAGTTTTCAAGGTTACCCAACAAAATTCAGCAAATTTCGCCTTAACAAAAATCAACCGCGTCCTACCTAACGATAGGATTTCTATTCCGCGCCTGAAAAGCCACACTGAAGCACTTCATCGAGCAAAAGTAACAGTCCATGGGCACGAACATCTTCTCTCCCACGGAAGTGTTCACCGTTTCGGCGATACTGGTCAGCATCAGGTGATGCGAGCTCTTGACGTAGACTTGGAAGCATGCGCGGCCGCAGACGCAGTAGTTGGCGTTGTCCAAGTAGTGGATGACAGTTGAGGGTAGAGAACCCGGGGGGTAGGCCAATCTGGCTCCTAGCACTTTTCTTGAAGAGTATTCTTTGAGGGTGCATACGGGTAGGGGGTTGGAGATTGTCGCTGCCCTTCTGGGTATGTCCTATACAAATCATTAATATTTTGATGAATAACTGTTGTACTACTATTTTGATTGAATATTTTTTAATTTGACTAGTCCGATGAGCTTTTTAACACGATTTTATTAGCTTCACCTGTTTGGACTCGATTTCGACCCTCTTTAAACGGACTAATTGATTTGAAATTTGGATTAGAGCCCAGCCATAGCACCATTATACGGGAAATATTGCCACAGTGGCAAGTCAAGAGCGTATAAAATTGTTTTGTAGTTTGTATTGCCAGAGGCGTGGTGGTCATTAGAGTAGTGTTCCTTCCTCCGAGATCGTGGATAGAGTCCTCTTACGACTCATATCACAACACGTAGAAAAGCTGGACCTCATACCAAAGAAACAGTTCGGGTTCCGCAAGGGACACAGCACAGTGTCCCAAGTGGCCCGAATTGTTCACGAGGTTAAAGAGGCCAGCAACAACAACAAGAGCACTGTTATGGTCATGATGGACGTAGAAAAGGCTTTCGACACCGTCTGGCACGAGGGTCTAATGTCCAAATTGTAGAAGGCTAGGATGCCGATTTTTATCATTAAGATTATCGATACATATATCACCAACGACACCAACAGGAAAATCCGGGTCGAGGTCAACGAAAGCATATCGGGAGATTTTCCACTCGAGGCAGGTGTTCCGCAGGGGTCGTGCCTCTCACCTCTGTTGTATACCCAATACAAGCATGATTTCCCTGTAATCGAGCGGACGAGTACAGCATTGTACGCCGACGACACGGCTATATATGCTCACTCGGACGACTCGAATATCGCCAGGGCACAGATCCAGATTCATCTGGACAAGGGAATCATACCGTACTTTGACGAGTCAAAGATCTGCATCAATAGTGCGAAGACAAAAGTCATCAACTTCCATAAAAAAGTCAATAACTCCAGACTGAGCAGACCTCTGACCGTCAAAGGGATTGAGGTGGCAGACACGACCACTGTGAAATACCTGGGAGTCAAATTGGACACCCGTATGAGTCTCAGGAAAAATACCAACTATCTTATCCAAAAAACGCAGTCTGCGATCAAGAAGATGTATCCCTTGTTATCCAGGACCTCCCCTCTCTCGCAGGAGAACAAGGTTACAAGCAGATCATCAGACCTGTGATGACATACGCATGTCCAGTATTCTGCAGCATCTCACCTACTCATATGAATAGGCTACAGGTGCTGCAGAACAAAGTACTCCGTATTATCACCAATGGTGATAGATACTCTCGAGTGGCAGATCTCCACGAGAGATGTGGTAATTTGCCCAGAGTCAGTGAATACATACTGAAAATAGCGAATAGATTCTACATACCACATCGCTGGAAGTGACCTTACCCGGAATATCACAACATTTAGACAACACCATAACATCCACAAAAAACACGGGCTGATATATGCATCAACCGATGTGTTTAGGGAGCCTGATAATCTATAGTCGGGAACTTCCCCGGATGCTCGGACATGTCCGAGCCACCGAGGAGAGTCTAGACAGCACTATCTCCCAAGCATGAAAACAACAAAGTGTCAATAAATGACACTGAACTCGGGCAGAAGTGCCCATGTGGAAACACATGCGCACAACTGCCCGAGACAAACAAGAAGGAGGTTTTTTATTTCTTCAATTTTATTTTTCCTCCATCACCTAAGAAACCCTTTCCACTCTGATCGCGCACGAGGAACTCCCCCACCCCTTTAGGTACCTTCAGCGAGATTACCTATATAAAGAGCCTAGTCCTAGGAGATAGGTAACTGGACGAACACCTCACATATCCTCTCATATTCCTTGGCTAACACCAGCCACCTCTGCGTCAGTGGAGGAACGTTCAGGCATACTTTCAGCTATGCCAAATCTATATCACATAAATGTGATTGACATATTATTATGTGTTGTACTTTTTAAAACACCGAAGATGAATAAATGAATTCAATACTTCCTCCGAGCGAAAAGATCGGTGTTCGATCCCTACTCCAGCAATTTTTTTAAAATATTTTTTTGAAGTAATTGATTGAAAAAACACTATGGAGGCATTTATTGGTTAGGCCAATAGTGATTTGCTATTTCAATTGTGTATCTTCTCAGGATCGGCCGGACATTTTCAGTTCCTCGCGCCCAGCGAGCAGTGAGCGAGGCGCAATATTACCTTGCTATGGTGCTATGGCTAGACTCTAGTGAAATTTGGCAGGTGTCATATTTCTCGTTGCAAAAATTTGTTGCTATACAGAAAAACAAAATGGCGGACGAGTTTTGTAATTATGATCCGAATCTATTCAAAATTTGTATATGTGGGTATTCGGGGTCGGAGATTATGATTCTTTCGTCAAAATTTAAACATTCAAGATGGCGAATCCAATATGGCGGACGTGTCTTGTAATTATGATCCGATTCTATTCAAAATTTGGATCTGGAGGTTTTCGGGGTTGGAAATTATGATTCTTCCGTCAAAATTGAAAAATTCTTATATGGAATACAAGTTTCTTAATTATATGATCCGATTCGATTCAAAATTGTTATCTGGGGTTTTTCAGTCAAAATTGGAAAATTCAATATGGCGGATACAATATGGCGTACGGGTTTTGTAACACGATCCGATTCTATTAAAAATTAGTATGTAGGGATTTTTGGGGTCGGATATTATGATTCTTTCGTCAAAATTGGGTGTATACAAAAAATATAAAAACAGTAAAACACACGCTTCTTTAGTTAGTTGAACCAAAAAAATTGAAAATAAATATAGTAGTTTGAAAAACTGAAGAAACACGCTTTTATAGATAGCCAAACTAAAAAAAAAGTTTAAAATAAAATTTTAAAACATGTGTGTTCATCAACACACTTTTATCATTTCACTTGATTATTTGGGATTTCCTCTTCTTGTTTCTATAAAATAAGAATATATCATTCAAATATAATATGTAGTAGGACAAATCAGATGATTTGGCCCAAAATGTCACTGCTTTTAACAATTTTTTTCATCAGAGAACTTAAAAAGAATCCAATAGCTTGTCAGTGACACTTTGTTTGGCAAAATGTTCGAAGAGAATAAATAAAGATATATTGAAAAAATATCGAATTTTTACTTACCTGTGAAGGCGTGTTCCTTTAAATTTTCAAAATACTCTTTATTTTTATATTCCAATGATATGTAAAAAAGTTTCCAGTGATGAATAAAGCATTTGTATTTGTAATGGGATTATTATAAATATTTGGTGCTATGAAAGAAGTTGTTTTTCTCCAATTATCCACCACTTTCTTGTTTATTTCCAATTCAATATCTTCTTCAAATGGAAAGATATATTTTTGATTTCAATGTTGATGTATGCAAGTGGATTATTGGATGATTTGTGTGAAAATAAGTTCCATCACAATTAATTCACACCAGTGTCAAACTATTGAATCGGGCTCCAAGCACTTTCCTTGAGGCATACTCTTTGAGGGTGCATACAGGTATAGGGCTTCCACGCTGGGTTGATAGTTGCGCAATACTTGGTAACAATGTCGTGCCAAACCTGCACATCGAAAAATACTAGTAACTTCCGAAATGGGCGAACCGCGTTATCGATTTGAGTTGGCAAAACTGTACACCGATGCCAGATTTATTCAACATTTCTAGTAGCGATTTGTTGTGATCAGCTAATCTCTGCTAATAATTCATTACGGACAATTTGTACTTTCAAGGAATTGTTTGTGATTTATTTGTGGATCATAGGTGAGATTCGATTTTTTCAAAATGCCTAAACCATTGAGTGGGAATTAGTATTTTCTTCAAGAACTAAACATGAAGATTCCCATGGAGAAATGAACCAACATAACCTGGTTCGAAAATCAATTGTTGAAAAATTTGGAAAAACCTTCCACAATTGTTGTGGATAATGCGAGTTACCACCACAGTACAATGATGAATAAAATTCGCACTGCAGCCTCAAAAAAAACAGACATATAAGAATGGCTAACCAACAACAGAATTCAGTTTGACTATGGAATGCTGAAGCCACAGTTACTGAATTTGGTCAAATTGTAGGCTATAGACACTGTTTATTTTCCCCCGAAATAAAATCAAATGATCGAATTTCTAATTCATCTCACCAATTTATAGTAGGTGATTGAAAAACATTCAAAACGATTAGATAACCTAGAAATTGAATTCAAAGTTTTTATTATTTTCACTCAGTAAATGTGAATACTGATCAGTTTTATCAAGAAAAATGAATTCAAGACATAATTGTGTATTGATAGAAAAATAAGATATTTATGTTAATATCTGTGATTGTTTGTTGATGTTATACAATAATGAATCATTCTTCAAGTTATTATTCCATATAAGAATTTTATTATTATCAAATTCCATATTTAGTATATTGTTTAGGTTCATGGTTCATTAAATACAAATATTGAAGTTCATTTATCAACTTCAAGTGCTGATTTTGAAATATAAATGGACGGCTTTTGAGTTGGTTGCAAAAAACATTATAACGTCCGACGATCCTAACACTAGACATATCCATATTCGGGCGGTTTCAACTGGCAACACTGTATGTGTTGACATATTGACGTCACTATCAACCCAGCGTGAAAGCACTGTAAAATGAGCTAATTTTAAATACTTGAGGTCAGGGATGGAGATGTTTTCCTCAAGTTATCCACCACTTTTTTGGACATTTTCAATTCAATTTTCATCTTTTTTGAATTCAATGTTGATGTAACCAGGAAATATTCCATCAAAGTTAATTCAAACTATTGTCAAAATCATAGAGTTAGTAAAATTTTCAACATCTTAATCACAATCAACAAATCAATTGAGGAAAACAATGAAAAGCATGACCATGATTGAATAAATAAACAGATAACAAAAAAAACATGATCTCAAAGGTTTGGTGTGAACAGGTTTCACACATAAATGTGAGTGTGATACTGAAAAGTATCTTAGGAATCCTTCAAGTTGAAACTTGACTTTGATTCCAGTCAATACAGAATTTCTGAATACCCAACCATATAAGTGGAAAAGGCAAAACTAATTCTTAGTATTTCTTTCTGAAGTGAAATCTGAGCCTATGGATTGGAGAAATTAAAATATATGTAAACAATAGTTTTTCAGACTTCATGGAGAAATAAAAATCTGAATATAGGAAGCATCTTAGTAAAAAAACTTGAGATTTGTTGAAAAAAAGGCATTTTTACAGCTTGTTGATTTTTTGCAAACAAGAGTCAATCACTAATTGAAAATTTCAAAATTAGTAGTATCATTACCAACCTGTTTGCAAATTTAGTGCAGAATCAAGGAATTTCTTATCTTACTTTACAAAAAAAATCCCTAGATAGTTTTATTCTATGCGAGATTCTATGTTCTTATGATTCCCTAAAGATTTGTGCTCAGGTAACTTTTTTGTAATTCTCATCAATCTTTTTCTCTTGCATGTTCCAATATTCCAAATGTTTTTTTCTAGCTGTTCAACATTTTTTTCTTTTTTACAAAGTTCATTTTTCTCATTCACTACAACATCATCAAATGTTCACTCACCTGTAGAAAACTGTTGTGTGAGACATCAATTGATTGCAGCTTCAGCTTCTTCATACTCCCAGGTAGAGAAGAAATATTGTTTTTCGAAGCAGAAAACACCTTAAGGCTCTTCAAGTTGCCTATGCCTGCAGGTAGCCCTCTCAAACAGTTTGAATTGAGAAGCAGTGTACTCAACTGGTGCAGCTTACTGATCTGATTTGGTACAACTATAAGTTCATTATGACTCAAATCCAGTGATTGCAAAGTCTTTGACAGGTTACCCCCCAGCCAATCCCACTGTCTAGCCTTACTCAAATGCAAGGAGTTGTGTGAAAGATTCAATTCTTTCAAGTTAGGCAATAAATTAAGAGCCTCTGGCACAAACTCTATGATATTGTTGCTCAGATCAAGTATTCTAAGCTTAGATAATTGGAATATACCAGTGTCTACTCCACATCGCTTGATATCATTAATGTGCAGCTCCTCCAGAGTTCTAGGAAAGCCTTTGGAAGGGTATTCAGATCGGTTTTTGATGGATAGCTTTGTGGGGGCAATATCTTTGGCTCGTACAGGCGTCACCGCCATACTGGAGAAGGTCATTTCCTTGTCAGAAACTTTGTTCTCTAGGACTCGCTTGAATAGGTGCAGAAAACCTTTGAGTTGGATGGAGTCGCAACTGATGTAAAGATCGTGTTCAGGGTTCTTGAACTGTATGGTACATTTGCCTTCGTTGATGAATTTAGTGAGGACTTGCATTATGTTGCCCTTGAGGTTGTATTTGGTACCAGTTTTGTTCTGGTTTGTGAACAGGATGATGCAGAAGTCTCCTGATTTCGGGTGTTTACATAGTGCCAAGGTAGATTTAACGGGTTTCCTTGGTTTGGTGATGGATAAAGATGGTAACAGACGGTTACCAACGAACACATTGCAAACGATTTTCATTATACCACTATCAGTAAGCTAATCTTTATGAAAATATAATTATTTTTTATTTTTATTTCTCATCACAACATAAATAAAATAATCAAAGTTGAAAAATGTAAATGTAAAGAATTCTAAAGATTTAAGGATTGACATTGACGTTGATTGTCCTTGTCCTGACATAAATGTCAAAATCCACAGAACATAATCAAATAATCAGCTCACAAAGAAAGACTAGTGCCTGTAGACAGTTCCTTTCCTGCCTTTTCATCCAATTCTGGCTTCCGACGCACTTCTTTGCACACGTCACACTATCGTCACGCTGATTTTATACAGGGTGAGTCATAACTATTGTATGTATGAATCTCGTGCACCTCGTCTATATCGCAAAAAAGTGTGGCAAAAAGTAGTTTTCAAGTGAGTTTGGGAACGCAGAAATGATTCGCTATCAGTGAACCTTCATCATTGTGTGGCCCATTAACATTTATTTCAGATTCGTAGTAAGTGCTTTTGGTCAGAAGGTGCAAATACCAGGTTTCCTGAAGTTTGGTTCTTGTACCTGTATTCATTATAGATTCCAGATGAATCTTCACCGATCAACCCGCCTGTATATTTTCATAATCGCATCGGACATCTGTAATAAAATACTCCTGAACCGGAATTCCGCAGTAGAACTTTCATTTCAACCCCTGCATGAGATTAACCCCGTATTGTAACAAAACTCATCACCAGCCGATATCTTGGAATTCGAACACCTTATAGATATGATAATAATTTCAGATGATACCCTATAACTGTTGTATTTCAATTTCGTATTTTTTCAGCTGAAACACCCTATATATTGTAGTGGAGAGTATAATCTCTGCCATAGGTTTAAGTGTAAGCATAGTTTCAAACTGAACTTTCGCCTAATAAATTATTATTTGAAAATCGAAAGTTAATGTCATTTCCGGTTAAACCGAAATATGAAAAAAAAATCTGAAATGATGAGAAAGTGCCCTCTATAGTGAGCATATTCGATGTTCCAGAAAAGGGGGGTATATTATGAGTTTGTGCGAGCTGATATTGGTGAAGAAAGCGAATTTCAAATTACCAACTACGTGATGAATACCTCCATATTTATTTACAAAAACACTTACCGTCTTGAAAAAATACAACTTTCACACACTCAATTGAAAATGTAATCACTAAACCCAATATCAGTTTCAATTTTTCACTCTTGAATAATCCGAGTTCTTTTTTAAATCTCTTGAAACGACCTGACGCGATGAAATCTATAACGAGACTGTTGATTGGTTTGATTCACTATTCTGATGACTATATAATTAGTTACGTCATCCTTTCAACCGATTAATTCCCGAACAAGTATGACTAAATCCATATTATCGATAGTAGGTATACGGGGTGGGGTGAAAAGACATTTAATATACAGTGTCACCGATGAAGTTTACATCATATCGGATTTTTTAATTATTCAGTTTGTGCAAATCAGGATTCCATGGACAGTTCTTAGTTTGGAAATACTTTGAAAATAACGTTCATGAATTTTTTTCAATCGATAGCTGTCGAATCAGACATTTTCTGTCAGAAAATTCTCTCGAATATAAACGATTTTCAAAGTAGCACATATAGCTATTTAATATGCAAGGGAAAAAAGTAGTAGATTTTAGCTCCAGGTTGTGTTGCCCCCGACGAGTAGAGGAGGGACACAAAAAACCGTGCACAGCAAAAGCCATCAACAGTGTATATATTTGTGATATATATCCGGGAAAGAGTAATATTTCACTATAAAGTTACAGATTTAACCTTTTTTTTGCATTTGCATTTCGTTTTTCATCACTGATGGACAATTCATAAATCAGAATGATCTTCAATGACACATTCTTCAATATATGAAAATTGACGAAAAATATGATTTTCTTGTGATTTATCAATATTTAGTGGAAAGAAGGAAGAATATCATTTAGGATAACGGATTGTGTAACGTCATTCAAAAACAATCTTTTGACATTTGACATCTCGTATTTGAATTAATTATTGATTACATAGCCGTCATGTGGTATGATTGTCACTAAATATGAAAATCTCGCCATAAAATCCATATTTCCAGTTGAATTTTCTATTTGAAAATGTGTCATCGGAATACATCATAAGTACCTAAATAAAGTGTCCAATGACAAAATAAGAAGAGCAAGTAGCTGTAAATGCATCCAAGACAGGGAGATATGGATATGATGGGCTAGTATGGACTTGATTAAACTATTTGCGTTTTGTATTTCTCACAATTAATTAATTGCCTACTGTTTGTAAAATGAGAATAAATTTGTTTGTTTTTACTGTCCATGTATCTCTATTTCGACACCATATCCACTTCCTTTAGAGAGTTGATGAAGCTATACAAAATTTGAAACGTGCCGAAAACAGATGTTTTGTAACGCATCGAAGACAGTTTTGTTGGAACGTGCCCATAACGTTTGTCTTGGAACGTGTCTGGGACGATGTTGTTGAAACGTTCCATGAAACCTCACTGAGGTAGGACATTAATATTCTCTGGAACGTTTCTGAAACTTCAAAGAGACTTGAGTGGGAAGGTTTCAGATATCCGTAAGATATTTCTGAAATGTTTCTGATACTGAAATATGTTAAGTGGGTAATACCTCCCTCAGTGAACAGAACTTCATCATTAAATTTATCAAACGATAAAAATCCATTGATGATACGAAGCTCAATTTTGGGATAATGAATGATATGTCTCGGTCAAACTCGAATTAGTTTGGGTTCAATAAGTACATGAAATTTAAAACAAAATGTTTATTCTGAAAATATTCAGGTAAAAAGTGTAACAAAATGAACATCAACATTCATTGATAAAGACAATTAATATACTAAAATGAGGTTAAACAGGTGAATAGCGGGGTATAGGTCGCGTGCACGACGACCGACCCTGGAGGTGAAATATTGAAACACAACCTCACTTTTCTGTAAAACATTGAAACACAAGCTCACTTTTTTTTATTCGTTCATAGAGGATTCAAAGGATTGAAATAGTTTTTCACAATATTTTGGCATACGAATCGTGTTTTTTGCGCTATTCATCAATTCAAGCATGCTTTCTCATTATGCCTTTGTACAATACACAAAAAATGCAGCGAGAGACGAAGGAATACGATTTATCAGGTGAATAGTAATCTCACATAGTTTTCATTATGAAATTTTGTCATTTCTTATTAAAACTCCTCCTGCCACTTCTGCAATAGAAGCTAATACTGCTAATAGATTGAAAATATCTACAACACACACGATCATATTGCGTCAACATGTTAGACCAGTCCTCATGTTTGATTGCATGAATCCAATCTTCTTGCATTCTATCTATTAGCTCCTATTACAGAAGGAATTCCGATGAGAAATCAGAGAATTTTCTAAATTTCAAAATGTGCCAACCGGATTCCATCGATTCTCGCTGCATTGTACAACAGCACAATGTGATAGCATGTGCGAATTAATGAATAGCCGAAAAACACGATTCGTATGCCAAAATAATTCTGAAAAACTATTTCAATCATTTGTAAACAAATATCAAAAGTGAGGTTGTGTTTCAATGTTTCACCCCCAGGGTCAATTATCTGACAGTTCTTGCACGCAACCCATGAAGTTAAACAGGCCGCGACTTTTTCAACGATTGCTGTATCTCTTCGAGAGTCTTGCCCTTCGTTTCAGGCACGAATAATACCGTGAGGAACGTCGACACCAAGTTACTCACCCCGAAAAATACAAACGGCCCCCACATTCCTACTCCACTTTTCAGCCAGTAAAAAATATTGTTCGACACGAAAATCATGAGTCCGAAGGTGATCACAAGCACGCTCAGTCCCTTAGCTTTGATACTAGCTGAGAATAGTTCTCCCAACATAAGCGTCGGTATCAATATGATACCGGAAGAACAGAACACTATGTAGAGCAGCATCCCCGCTACAGGAAGCCATTTCACTTTAGAAAGATCGACGTCATGCCTTTGCTGGTCGACATAAAAATAAACACCCTCCAAAATGAGCACCACCCCACAAAAGAGAATCGAAAACATGAACGCTTTTCTTCTTCCTATCTTTTCAACGACGAAGCCAGCGAGGAAGATGAGCACGAAACACATCCCCGTGTAGATCATGGAGGCTATTTCTGAGCTCACGTCAGTACCGGAATGTTTGAATATGTACTGGGTGTACACGTTGAACACAGTCACGCCGCCTATCAGCTGGGACACTCGCAGGAAAACTCCTGCTATCAAAGCTTTGCGATTGGTGCTGTTCATCACGAGGTCCTTCCAAGTGCCTGTCTCCGACATTTGTCGGGTGACGTCGGCTTCCAGCTGCCGATAAATGGCCTCCACGTCTTCTTTGCACCTCAACCGTCGCAGACAAGCTTTGGCTTCTTCTTCTTTGCCTTTCATCACGTGCCAAGATGGCGATTCGGGCATGAAGTGCATGGAGACGAGGAAAATCAGGGGAAGCGGCAGGCATATGAAGGCGGTCGTTCTGACACTGGTCTGCGAGCCTATGACGTTGACGAGGAACATGCCGAAGTAGGTGAAAACGTTGACCAGGTTGCCGTATATGCAGCGCACTCTGGGGGTGGAAATTTCGCCGATATACATGGGCAGCACTGCGAAAAGGCAACCGTCACCCGTTCCAGCGAAAAACCTAGATATAAAACGCCTTTTACTCTTCAATATAGGTACTTACATTGAATCGAATGTATTGTGAAAACTGTGTATTTTGCAATTGTTTGCTGCAAGCATTGACATATTTACTATACATTGAATGCAATGTATTGTAAAATTTCAATTTTTGACCATTTTCACAATACATGTGTTGCAAAAAGTATTTTATTTTACTTTACATCAATTTGCAAGATATGGTAAAAATGATCATGAGATGCACTGCTTGGAAAGTATAGTAAAATTGGATTCTTGACAATACTTCGCTTTCAATGCATCGCAGAACATCTTTTTCACAATATACATGCATCCTAAGTTTCGGAGAAAATAATACTATAGTCTTGCAGTGTTCAGGAACGAAAATACCTGAACAGCATCAGTACCCGAAACAAGCATCATTTACATCTTGGGAGCAGGCTGTTAAACATCTAGCGAATTCCATTGGTAAAACTGGCTCGCACTGAATGCATATTATGTATTCCATTGGTAAAACTGGTAGATTTCGGGAAAAAACCAACTACTTTCCTGGCTATAATGCCACGCAGAACATTGAATTACATCCTCCCGAAATCTATGCATCGACTCGTATAAACGAATAGTGATACAAAGTGATTCTTTCCTGAATGCCTATTGATTTCGATTTAGCCAGGCCACGCTAGACACCTACAGAACGTTTTCGAGCTTTTTTTGACTCTCATCAGTACAGGGCAGTCTCCAGTCAGCAGTCCTAAGACCGCCAACTAATCGTTGCTTAGCCAAACAAAAATCAAGTCGGCAATGTCGGCATTATAATCCCTCAGAGGCGCCCTGCATAGACAATATTTTAGTTTGGCTAGAATATATTGAAATAAATACTGTGGAGGCATTTACTTTTGAGGCCTATGAAGATTCGCTATTTCAATCACGCTATTCTTCAGGATCGAAATATTATGTATAGGTTTGCTAACAAATTCGAATTTTCTGTCAGATGCCGAATTCGGTTAGATTGTTATGCAAAAAGGATATTTCTGAAAAATAAACTTTTTAGTTAGATTAGATTGTTCAGAAAAATTAGTCTCCCCTCTTCAGAAAGGATATTTTTCTTCCTTATATTACGTTGATACATGTATTCGGAATTGAAACGCTTCAGGTTTACTCGTTCCTGAACACTGCAAAACGGCGAGACGCTTGTGAAAAAATATGAACTCTATACGATGTGTTTTTCGAATGAGAAAACATATTTAGCATATCGATATAACACATTCTCAAATTATCAGATCTTTTCTAGTTCTTCTGATATTCGAGACATTTAATCCAGGAAATAAAATAAAAAACGTAAACAAAATCAAGTACGCCACTTTCTAAAACAATTCAAATAATTGAACTACGTGTGATTGTGCCTTCCGCACGAAAATTTGAGCAGAGGTGACGTCAGAACTGCTACTGCATGTGTAGAACTTTGGGTGGAAAAAAAATTAATTCGTAATTTCTATTCATTGGTGCCATTCGATAGTTAACGTTAGAGCTCAATCAAGATTTGAAATATTCTTATGCATTTCAATCTCACCCTGAATGTATAACAAACTGAAAAGACGCTATACATACCTTGAAACATACAGCAGGTTGATGTTTTTCGATAGGGTCAGCAGCCAGGCCAGAACATGTGGTATGGTTATCAACATCAGAGTCCTTTTCCTCCCTATAAGGTCGCAAAGTTTGGAGAAGGCTAGGCTGGATAGTATCATGGCGATGGGCGGTATGACGGTTAGGTAGGACGCTTGGTTATCGGTGACGTCATAAGTCTCGTCGTCGAGTATTTTCACGATGAAAGGGGAAGTCCATGCGAACAAGAGGCCGACCGTTATGGCTGATAGGCAAGCTGTAACAGATATAGTGAACTGTGAAAATATAGTTTGATGGTATATCGGATGATTTTTCAAGGTGACCCGCCCTATAACTTTTTTATTATTGAAGATGGAACAACGAAACTTGGGGGTCGTGTATTATAGTTCAATTTACATTTCTGGAAATATTTGCTTGCCTTTTACCCCATACAGCACGAGTACATCCCCAAAACGTACTAAGAACGTCCGGCCAATACGTTTCGTACGTACTGGGGACGTCCAGACTAGGACCGTAGACGTACTAGGCACGTATACTAGGGACGTCCAGATTTCGCGCATTTTTACATCCCCTGTACACGTCCATTCAGCTCCATGAATACCTGAATCAACGTAGATCCTCCTTGCAGGTTACAAGGTATTTTTCGAAAATGGGCATTTCTGAAAAGTGGATACAGATTTTTTATTAGTAAAAAAAAATTGTTTTTATGAAAATAACTGCAAAGCATCGAGTTTGTGATGAAAATTATTCTCGAGCCACTGAAATCGGCCTTCCTATTTCTTGTTCAAGAATATAACTTGTCCTTCTTGAAAGAAAAGTTCTATTTCGCAACTAGGTGCACGGTGGTTGATTTCAATGCCTGAGGATCAATTTTTATGGCAAACACAATGCTTTGGTAATGTTTTCATGAAAACGAAGAATTTTTGACAAAAAATAAAGGGTTCTAGCCGCTTTTCAAAAATCCACATTTTCTAAAAAACCTTGTACATACCTCTGAAATGATGATGTGAATTGATCAACAGGCACTGACATCAGTTTTTTTGTACTGGAATAGGTCTTCCCCTTTATAAGTGCCCATTTTGGCCCACCCTGTACATACATGCCAACAAGTACATATACTAACCACTAACTACTAACTGAACTTGTTAGTAGGTATGATCGCTTTTTGCAATTATCCAAAAAAATAGTGAGAATAAAGTGAAAGTCTGTAGTATCAAATTATTCGCAAGAAAATGATCTTTCACAAAAAGCAGACGAGCCACCCCTTTCCATTTGAAAAAATTAAGTTCACTGGGAAAAATCATATTTGCGGCTTTTAAATGATTCCTAAAACAACTGTGAAGTCATAAGCCTCAATGTCATATTTTTTCCATGTTATTTGAACGAGAGTGAAGCGATTTACACAATCCATGGCATTCTAGCTCGAAAAATACAAATTTAAATAAAACTCCATTCGTCAAATAATATTGATGAGTTTGATATTGTTGAATTCAGAATCTCATTCCCGATTGAAATGAGTGAAAATATATGAGGGTCTCTCATTTCAAATTCGAAAGTTGGGGTTATTTTTCTACATCTTCAATAATAAAAAGTTATATAAAAACCACCTGGAATTTGACCAATTTTCATCATAAAATAAATTAGCTGATATTGGATGATAGGATAGAACGAGAGATTTTGTGGAAAAACATATGTAGGCCAAACTGAGATAATCAGTGGTGCTAGGTTCAATAAAGAACATCTTGAACATTTGGTAGGGTGAATAAAGCGAGTGTTCATTTCATATTGTGTATTTTTGTACTCACACACACTGTTGGCTAGAATTTGTACCCAAATGTTCTCCTTTGGAATCGTATTTTCCTTGTTTTCTTGGTTATCCTTCACACCTGCTTCTTCACTCGCCACCACCATGTTGATCGTTGAATTATTCTAGAATCTGTGTGAACAAAATTGTTATTCTGAGTATACAGTGGAATTCATGAAGTCGGCATCATACAGGAAAAACTTTTAATAATAATTTATTTCGAAATTCGACTTATGCGTTAAGTTGTGCTCAAAAAAATATGAAAAATTGACTACTCGGCCAGGGTCAGGTGACTTTCGCTGCATGTTGAAAGTTACATTCTTCCAAATTAATCGCTGAAAATAGACATTTTTTTTTGAATTTCAAGAAAGTTTACTGGGAAAAGTTGTTTCCATTCCAATTTCACATATGTGTGTCTCGAATTCGAATTGAAGAAAATTAATACCGACAATATTATTTCATTCTAGTTCGAGTAGTTTTATCATTCTACTAACTTTCAATCACCAATTATCTACAGAAATATGATTTTCTTCGTAAAATAATGATTCCTGCTTCAATTTTCTGTTATGTTTGATGCAAAGTTGATGGATCGTCTATTCAGGAGCGAAATTTATTTGAATTGATTTTTTCAGTACTAAAATGATGCCAAGGTATCTATCAAAATATCATCAAATTACTTTACGTACCTATCTAACCAAAGTTTAGGACAGTTTTGTCGAAGTTACAATTAGAAGAAATTAAAAATATCAAGAACCTATAGAGTTGCAATAGAACGTTCCAATTCGAGACAAATGTGTAAGCACATTTTTTTTTGAAATTCGAACAAATGAGCCTATTTTCTGCGATTGAAATTAAAAAAATCATCTTTTGACATGTAGCGAAACCCCGACCGACCGACCGACCGAAAAGGCCATTTTTCATCTTTTTTAAAGCAATACCTAACGCCTAAGTCGAATCACAAAATATTTTTTCATTGAAAGTTTTTCCCACATGAATGACACTGTGCCCATATAGATATCCCCTTCTATATAGTTCATAATTCGAGAATAAATTGTCGGAAATATACATTCAAAAAAGTTTGAGCGCAATATTTAATGTAGTCCCACCCTGTATTATACACTCCTGAATGAAACTTCGGAATGCTTTTATGTTCACCGCATTGGGCATGGAAAGTTTAGTTCTTGTACCAAATTGCATCATTTTATCACGTGACGTTTCGGAAATAATAAAGAAATATCATCTTCAGGAGCCCTCTTTCAGGAGATATTTCTCGGCTCATGTTCATTGAAACTTTTCTTCCTATTTTTGCACTACACTGTTTTACCACTAACCAAACCGATTTTTTAACGCCTCGATACGTGTTTCGCTAACTATGTTAGCATCTTCAGGAGAAGATTAAAACTCAGTTTCTCCTGAAGATGCTAACATAGTTAGCGAAACACGTGTCGAGGCGTTAAAAAATCGGTTTGGTTAGTGGTAAAACAGTGTAGTGTATTATCGTGCCAAAGGTTCTAGTCTTCGATATATTCATATTTTTGGTCGAAGAAGCCGTTGGCGAAGTTTGGCAGGCTAATTTTGGTACACCCTGTATATTAACATCAATGAATACAGGTTGATTCGAAATTCGATATAAATATCTCAAGAACATATTGTTGGGATCGAAATAATACATTTTCATCATATAAACATGTGTCCTAAAATTCAATAACCCTTCCTAGCTATAGCTAGGTAAAGAAAAAAGATATTCTGAAATTGTGACAAAAATAACTGATCAAATCTCCTGAAAATAGGCAGATCCCTGTTCCTTTACACACTTTATTCAATTTTTTCTTAAAAAAATATGTAAACCCAGTTTTGGGGGGGGGGGGGGGGGGTTGGAGGGGGTCCTCACTTACATCGAATTTTGAATCACCCTATATAGCTATTTAATCACTTTATGTCCAAGTTTGTTGTTTTTAATATTATCTGTATAAGTGACCAAGCTTTCTGTACCTACATACCAGAAAAAATTCACTTACATTTCGTGAAACATACGTTCTTCGAACTGAATGTAGCCTATATTCACAGCATCTTCAATAGTTTTTATATTCGTGTCTGATGAATGTATGATTTTTTCACGAACGATTATCAAATTAATGGAACTTTATTGGTCATAAAGTTGATCAGCCGTTGCTTACTGAATTGCATTGTTGATATAAATGAAAACGAATTGATTAATTCAATAATTATATCGCGAATAAGGTCAAAAGCCGGTATTTATTTATTTATACAGAGCGAGTAACTGTCCATCGATAAAAAAATCCCACTTGAATCCTGCTAAATAATCCAGTCACAAAAAAAATAATGCCCATATATACAATCGATCATAATAGTATATTATGTAACAAGTGTTGTAAATGTCCTTTTAGTGAATAGTATTTCAAGCACGTGCGCAGCGAGTGTTGAATAAGCGAATGTCTAGAAGAGTTTATATAAACGCGTTGCATTCTATACTTCTTCAACGAACTCATAATTCCTCTCTTCGACAACCCTACAGAATAATTCGAAGGGAATGGAAATTAAGAACATACATAATACTATGCAACTGCACGCAACCAAAGAGACACGTATAAGTGATATTGGCTGTAGATGTGGCCAGCAGTTCATAGGAGACATGAATTTCCTCGTGAATTTCAATGCTTACTACCTTTGTGAATGAGAAGTTTTCATCTGACTCTTCGATTCGCTGAGGTATCAAAGTTTTCGATTTCTCAGTTATGTTATTATATTCTGATTGCATAATTTGTGCTCACATAAATTTTGTGTTTTACTTTAATTGTCATTTAGCATACTGATTAATGAATTGCCCACAAAGATGAGAGCTTCATTTTTACACAGAGTTCTTGGAAATATGCAATCACCTAAAACATTCTCTTCGATTTCACTTCCGTCCACATTTCGCATAATTACATTTTTAATGAAGAATTCTGATACAAGACTAAATTGTTTGAATGATGCTGATTACAACGAAATTCGAAAATAACAGTTGACAGTTGCTACAGTAAACAGGCCGGCCAGGACTCAAACGACTGAAGGACTGTTTAAAAAACTGTGTTGCCATGGTAATGTGTGTAAGAAATTGTTTCTTCATGGTAACCTGTTGAATTTTTTCAATAAATCACATATCCTCATCCGTGATTAATCGATCATTTAGCGCGGTACATATCGGTACGCTAAATATGCCATTTTAGTTATGTGATCAGAAAAACTATTTTACGCACTTCAGGGATTGAAAGTACCTTTATTCCCTATTTTCAGGGAAAACAGTGGTACTTTGAACCCCTAGGGATTCAAAGTAGATTTCTTTGCAATAAAAGCTAAATTTTGAAATGTATTCTCAAAATGTCTGCTTCTATTGTGGCTTTTAACATCGAATATCTCCACAATGACGATGCTTTAAGCTTTTCTGACTTTTCCAAGAAATAGGCAAGCAGTACCTTTTCTTCTGTACATTTTTCCACGTTCCGTTCTTTGCACCATTCGATAAAAACAGATAACTGTTTTTTATATTGGTGTTCAGATTTTCTTGGTAATAATTGGCTTTCAGCTTCTTGAGCTGCCTTTTCGATGCTTTTCGGTTTGTTCCATAGCGATAGACGTCGTTCAATCGATGTGGCGTATTTGACTAATATTTATTCATTTATATTTTACTTAGTTATTTGTCATGCCACACCAAGATTTTCAGTTGCCGATGACAATCATGATCTGGATCACCATAGTTAATGAGGTCGTTAATTTGGTAATAATCAGCCCCTTCGATGATGTTTCAGAAATAGAGTAACTAAAGTTTAGTAGCATTCACTTTTTTTCCGTTATTTTTTCTTTAACGTTTTACCTATCCCGAGGTGCATAAAATAGTGTATACACCTCGGGACTAAAGTGTTTTCAAATCCCTCGACAAATCAAAACGTTGGTCGGGCTATAAACTTTTCGTCTAAGAATTTAAAATACCACTTTATTCCCTAGGTCAGGTGTATAATGTACTTTTTTCAGTTGATTAAATGATTGGCAAGAATGAATCGTGCGGAATAAGTTGATTATAATAATAATGGTGATTATAAGTAATGATTATTTGAATGTGAATATATGAACCTAGTTTTTGCATTATCATCAGGATTACCGGAAGTAAAGTAAATTGCCCCCCCTTTCACTTTCACTGTCGTTCTGGAATAATTATATTGTAAGTATAAACATTGATGTTGTGGCCTAACCATTTCATACGAAGACACATCATTTTAATGTGTCATTACATTATTCCACAGGCATGCTTAGTGAATTATGGCAACATGCAGCTTTCTGTTGAACAAAATCGATGCGAAATTTGATGAAAAGTACTTAATTAGAGCCTGCTGATGACTCACAAAAATACGTTCTCATTTGAAATACCTCTTGTTGTTTTTTTTTAAGTGTGAAGTACTTACCTATTCACGTCTTTTTACACACCCATGGGATTTAAACTGAACTCATCTGTACCCCAGAAACAAATAAATTATTTACCAGGTATTCTTTATATCATTTCATAGTAAATAAATTTAATTCCCCACTGCTTACACTACGCAACAAATGAAAAGGAAAATGGAAAATCCGTTATATCGGAACCGAGCACTGCAGCTGGAAAAATCAACAAGTGATGTCAGTAAATTGCTGGAAAATACATGTTTTGAACTTTAAAATGATGTGTTGACAGCAGGATAGTTCCATTTGAACTTTCAAAGTTGGGATTCCTTATAAAAAAGTCGGTTGCGTACTTTTTTTCTCAATATTATTTGCTGTGGTGCCCACTGAGACGCCAATGGACCTATAATAATTCCAATCTAGTTAGTGCTAATTAATTGTTTCATTACTACAAATCGGTTGATGGTGATGATATTCATGATATATTTTATGAACTCCTTTTTTCTTAACTTGAACGCCCTGCCCTTTATCTCAGAAACAAAACAACTCCGGACATAATTATGTTAATGGAAACTTGTTTCTTTTTCTTTCACTGAATAAAAGTATCAAACGGGTCTATTTCGTGAATTTCGTCTTTGATTTGTGACCGTATTAATGTTTGACGGATACCTACTTCAAATAAGTTACTTACGATTGACGAAGTCAACTTGCCTACTAAATTTTCCATCAAATAGATAGAATACAAGAAAAAGAGTAGAATAACTGGTCATTATTTCTGTATTGTACGTAACACGTTAGGAAACCCTTTTCCCAACTTTTTACGTAAATATCTATTCCGGATTGTCAAGTTTTAATTGTTCATTTTCAGATACTAATAATTATTATGGTGTTGCGATGTGGAAGAAAATTTCAGAATTTTCTTTCTCACATGTTGCATAGTTTATTATTCTCCGATTAGCATAAACAAATAATTTTAATAAATAGGTACCTTACTCACGCTACATCATTTGTTTGGAGTCAGGTATTAACAATTTTCCTGTTTACGCAACACTCGCTGGGAAAATACCTTTTTTTCCTAGAGAACTGTTATATTTGAAAATTCAATATCTCGACCTCGACCAAACATTAATAACATGGAAAAATCGAGGGGAAACTTGATGAAAATAATAATTATTTATTTTTCATTATAGTAATTGTCGTATGGGGTTCAGCTCCCAAACATACGCTGATGATCTCAGATTCCATCCAGAAAAGAGGCATTCGTCTGGTAGGTGATGCCACACTCACTAGTACTTTGACCTCATTAGAACACAGTAGAAAAGTCGGCGACCTTTCGCTTTTCTATAGATACTGTGACAAAACAGGTCTCTGTGCCCTGATTCGGTGCGTAATCCCCTCGTCTCGAAGAAAAACACTTTATCCCCAGATAACACGAAGACGTTCTGTGTTCGTCCAGAGGACGTACAATTGGGACGTACAAGACGACCTGAAGACGTCCAGTGTCGGTCGAGAGACGTCCATAGGACGTACAGGGGACTTCCGATGTTACAAGAGGCCCAAGTATGGTATTTCATCTCCATGAAAAGCATGATCAACGTATGTAGATTCGCCTTTTCTTACTCAAATAGATTAAAGATAAATATATACAGAGGAGAGAAAATTCTTATTTTGAATACAAAATAAAAAAAAGAACTTCCTACCGGGGATCGATCCCGCGATCTTTAGATTACCAGGCAGATGTATTGAAGACTCTTTTTATTCACACATATTACGTTACAGCACAAATTCACAAACACATTTCAAAAGCAGGACATCTTGCTAGGGCTCAGAGCTCTGTGATGGGTTCTCCGCGTGGTGCAGAGGTGGCTGGTGTTGGCCAGGGAATGTGAGTGTATTTGTGAAGTGTTAGTCTCAGAGACCTATCTCCTGGGGCCCAGCCGTTACCATTGAGATTAGAAGGCCAGCTGACTCTGACGTGAATAGCTCGTGATGTCACCTAAGAGAGGCCAGTGTTTTATGGCTTGTCGACTAACGCGTCAGTTCGTGTTAATTCATCGGTGATTCACGTATGTTTTTGAAGCGGTCCCGAATTTTTTTGTTGTTTATTCATCAAAATAATTGGCGGAAAAATTACTGTTTTGTGAAATATTTTGTGTTGTGATATGCGAAATAACAATGCCTTTCAAGTGTTGTGTTCCCTTTTGTCGAAGGAATTATGTGGGTGGTACAAAAGTTCATGCTTTTAGTTTCCCGTTGGACGAGGAACTATCGATAAAGTGGGTACATGCAATTCACCGCGAGGTTTTTACTCCATCTAAGTACAGTAGTGAACAGAGCTTAATTTATAATTTTTTTTTTCGCTTGGAGCGCACGAAAAGGAATCCCTATAATGATGAATTAATAATAGAAGACAATTATTACTCTCTCATAAAAAGTATGAGTAGAGGAGAAAGAGAAAAGCTTTGATTGTGCAGTTAGTTATATTCAACAAAATCAACTCTGAATTCGAGGAAATTTTCTTGAATGTTCATAATAAACGGGCATTTTCAACTCAATACATTCTCAAACTTCTTTCTGAAAACGGTCATTCGCCTCGTGGAAATGAATGCAGAATCAATTCCAATGATCAAATTGCAACTATCATATTAACATGTACTACAAAACACTCTACTCAAAGAGGTAAAACACGAATTTGATAATGAAAATGTGAACAAACCATTATTTATTGAGATATTTGACTATAAAGTTACAAATTTCACCTTCTTTTTCGCCTGTCTTCTGGATGGCATTTAGAACAATTTTCCCTTCTTTTTGCATCATCATATTGGACAATTTATATATATTACAATGTATGACACATTTTTTTCTATTGTATGATTCAACTATAAATGTGATTTTCTTGATTTATGCATATTTAGTGAAAAGAAGGAAGAATATCATTTAAAACAATGGCGTGTGTAATGTCATTCTAAAGCAGTCTGACATTTGACATCTCGTATTTTGATTGACTATTGATTAAATGGCCGTCCTCTGGAATACTTGTTCACTAAATATGAAAAACTCACCATAAAAATCATATTTCCTGTTGAATTTTCTTCTATATAACGTGTTCAATGACAAAATAAGAAGAGCAATAAGTAGCTTTGAATGCCCTCAACACAAGGGGAGAAAAAAAGGCAAAATTTCTAACATTTTCTTGAAATATCTCGATAAATAGTGGTTTGTTCACATTTTCATTATCAAATTCGTCTTTTTCAGACAAAAATACGTAGGTACCAAGGAAAAATTTCGAAAAAAAAAACATCGCATGATTGGGTAAAAAATTCAACAACAGGAAATTGAAAACACTCACTGGCTAATTTTTTAGGTAATAGGAATTCTCCAAGATAAATATAGGTAATTATAACAAACGGCATGTCTATCAAAATATAATACATTTTCCACAATTTTCTTTCGATCAATCTCACGATAAGTTTATGTTCTGCGGGCCCTGTATAAGTAGGTGTGAAGTTTACCTTCACCACAATTTTATTTTTCTACATTCATGCAAGAAACAGAACTTTATTGAACTATATTTAGTGGAAAAAGAAGTTCTTTATTGCACTTACTGCAATAAAGTTTTTATTGCACTCATCTGTCATTCTACTTCAACGTGCTGTCATCATGACAAACATTTTTTGTAATGCAACTGTGGTTATAGAAACGTCAGTCAAAAATTAATTCTGACAATTAACAGAATTGTACCTAGTGCCGCACCTCAATAAATCATTTTTTGCTTTTTGCATGAACGTAGAAAAAATCTTGTATGCAACTCGTGCAAAAATTGTTTATTGCACTCGACGTGTTGTCCAACTCGGCCCAACGGCCTCGTCGGACAATTTCACGTCGAATGCAATAAACATTCACTTTTTGCACTTGTTGCATAAATAACTATTAATTCGGATGGATTGCTTTAGGTGCGGGTATTTGTGTTTCATTGTGGTTTTTGCTTTGAAAATCGAATGGGATGCGAAGAAGGGCTCAGTTGACGACTGGCATCCTTTTTTAACCGGAAGCCCTTCAAAAAAACAACAAATTGGCTCAATAATGATCTAAAACTAAAATTGAAATATGCGGTCGCCTTATAACGCCATAAGCGCATGTCGTTTCGAGCCGCTGGTTATAGGCCTCACTAAGGTGATGTCATCACGGAGCATGCAGGCCTTTTTGTCTCGATGGTAACGGCCATGCCCCTTATTTAGGTGATCTCACTGAGGTTACCCAAGAGGGTGGGGGAGACGATCAGTCGCTAAGGCAGATGTTATAACCATTACTCCACACAACGCTTGTTGAAATATGAGGCTTTTACCTCTGTTCAAAACATGCAAGTAAGAAGAAAACATAATAAAGGTACATTGAGTGCACACTCCACCAAAGGGAATTCGCTATGAATCATAGTGAATGTTCTGATTGGTCAGATATATATGGACGTAGAATGTGCATATAAATTAATCTTTATATCCTTCGAAATCGGCATCCTATAATGATTGGATATACATTATTTAGGATATGTCAACATTGCCAGATCCACTTCAAAATACCATATTATGTGCCTATGCGGTGTGAGAGGTTGATATCATAGATAATTTTTCACATGCAAACATATAAATATTCCAAATAACCCCAAACATGAGAAACAGGCATTCATTACTTTTTTTTCAAAAATTGAATTTCAGTCTATTTCATCGATAAACATCTTACCGATAGCATTGAAACAGATTAATAATTAAAATTTGTAAATAATATTACGCTTTGAAATCGGTAAAATTCGTTCCAAATAGCCCCATTCTACGGAATTACTCTGTTAGAATACGTGAGAGTCAATGTATTAATGGAAAAACACACATTCAAAAAAATTCCGATTTATTAGGTACATAAAATACATCTATAAATATCAATTTTCTGGCAATGATTTCCCATAATTATCCCCACCATTCGTGATTCCATTCACTTATCCGTGTTTGGCGTTCATAGGATTGCTGGTGTAATGACTTATTATTATTATCTTGTCTGAGTCCTAAACCCGTTCGTTCATAGGCACTAAACTCTCATCCCTGTCTCCTTCAGCACTTTTCTTGACGAAACACGGCACTGAGAAGCTGACGATGGCGGCCACAGCAAAAAGTCCCCCCGCCACGTAGAAGGGCACGTCGTAGGAGGCGGTGGCGTCGTAAATCATACCGGCGGCGGGGGATCCCACGAAGGCAGCGAAGCCTCGGAAGAGGATGATCAGACCGAAGGCGTCGGTTAGTTTGTCGAGGCCGAGCAAGTCGACCAGGATGATGGAGGTTAAGGAAATGTATCCGGCTGTAAACGTGGAAATCAGTGTGTCAGATATTTATTTATTAATTTGTTGAAGAAGAAATACAAACAGGACGTCGAGGTCCTAATTACATGATTCATTTTTCCTAATCCTACCTAGAAACTAAATGCTTCGCGGATGATAGTACCCCCCATACCGCCTCCTCTTCCAGGGCTCCAATACCAGCCAGACAAATCAGAAACCTACGAGGGAGAAATGTTGACAACATAAATATGGACTTGGCAACAATTCTCGAATGGGGATCCAATGACTTGGTAGATTTCAATGCAAACAAAACACAAGCACGCCTTTTCTCTAGAAAAGCCGATCTCACTATGCCCAACATAAGCTTTTCAGGAGAAACCATACCTTTGAAGACATCCATTTCGATGCTTGGTATTACTATCAGAAATAACCTTTTGGGAAAATCACGTGAGATCAATTGCTAAAAGTGCATCCCAAAAACTTGGGTTTCTGTTTCGGGCCAGGAGCTATTTCATTTCCAGTCACCTGCTTATCATCTATTAGGCACAGATCCGACCTGTCCTGGAATACTGTTCCCATATTTGGAGAGCAGCACCCAAAAATACCCTGAGAATTTGTTGGATTCTGTCCAAAAAAAGGCAATTCATATCGTGGGTGATGCCTCGCTCACAAAGTCACTCACTTCTCTAGAATACCGTAGAAAAGTTGGCGATCTGACTCTATTCTATAGATATTTTCATGGACGATGCTCTTCTGAAATATCAACAATTGTTCCTCCCTTGGCAGTCCCCGCGAGATTAACCCGTCGAGTTGAGGCTCCGCACCCCTTCGTGGTCACTTTGGAGACCTGCAGAACATCTCTTTCCAAAGACTAGTTTATCCAACGAACAGCGAGGGAGGTGTTTCCCGAGGCATATACATATAACCTCCAGAAATTCAAGAAGAACACCAATTCCTACTTCATGTTCCTTGGTTCTCACGATGTTCTCTGAACACTACAGGATATCCCTTTTCGTGGGAACCCGAACATAATAATATTAAATAAACTATCATACTTATATACCTTCATATGCCTAGTAGAGTCCGATATCATATCATTTACATTTGTAAAATTCGTATGGTATACTGAGGCAAAGAGGCGAATAGGAGAGAGAAAAGTTCGATTGTGAAATATGGATGATGAGAAGACAACTTGGCTAGTCTGGAGGGAGAGTACCGTGGTTATTCATAATGCCTTGCAACACTTTTTTCATGAATGTGATTTTATCATCAGAGCTTTCAAACGACCCACGGTCGAAAACGTCTATGTCAAGTTCATTCGAATACTTGTTCAGGAGAAAGCAACAATTGTCAATTATGTTTGGCCTTCTAGGGACCAAGAATACATTTTTTTTTTGGTCTTAAATTTCGAGATGGGACCATGAATTTGATTTGAGAAAGGAGATATGGAATGTTTATATGGAATTGGCAAGCAATTCGCAAACAAACGTCCGTGTTCGAATATCTGAACGTTGTTCCGATTTGATCAGTCCAAACTCTTTTGTATGAGGTTCATAAGAGACGTAACCTGGATAAGTGTGATGTTTTTTATATTGATGAAATAAACCTCTATTTCATCAATTTTTTTATAATATACATATGTTTTGGAAAGTTCTCGAGTAACATACGATTTCTTTTTCCGTTTAAGGTCAACCATTGCCGTTGTAAAAATTGGTGACAGACCAAAGCGTCTGGGCGTTTTGATGGCCGATTCAGTTCAAGGACATGAATTATTATAACCTCAAAACGATTAAATGGCTCGAAAAAGTGGCAGGGGCATTCAAAATGAGTGAATAAAACTGCTTATATTTCAACAAAAATAGGTAGTGATACGTCAATAGATGATTTACTCGAATGTATTATTTCTGGTATACAGTTCAAAATAATTGTTCCATCCACAAAATTTGTCTTGACTCGTAAAATAGATGATTCCTAATATATCTGATTTTTAGGATGTCAGGTTATCTGTTATTTTCGGTATATTATCGAATGATCAGTGAAATTGCCCGTTTTTGAGGTTTTTGTATACTAGCGACCGGTTGAAACCATTCGTAGTCATCATTGTGATATAAGTCACAACCGGTCGGTCAGGCCGGTCGGCAACCAAAAACTCTATATTTGTGTGTTCACTGACCTAAAAACTTAAGATTGGGAAATCATTCTTCACCTTTCTGGGCTGAACTGTTCATAAATCGATTTGAAGTTCAAGATTTGGGGATAAGGATTAACATGTGAAAACCCTACCATGGCAGACATTGACTGCGCGGTTTAGGGTCTTTGGCTGATGCCTCGGGATATAAATCTTGATCCCTGGGTAATAATGATATTCTTTACTACTTTGATGTATAAATAACTACCAATCTTCTTCTGGTAGCTAGTGGTAAAATGTAGTATGTCGATAGCTGTAGATAAATAACTACCACTTAAGTGTCACTTACCCATGGCTGCAGCGAAGAATACAGCCATCACAGTATACGTCAGATACGTGTGACAGAATGGAGCCAAGCCCAATGAAGCGGCCGCCACGCACAGACAGACGTTGTTGACTTGGAAGCTGCTGACGGAAGGGAAGTCCGCTATGTACCCAAAACCGATACGAGAAACGGTGTTCACTATACCTATGATCGAAATCAGGAAAGATGCTTTACCAGCTTCGATACCCTGAAAAATGATGAATCTCAAAAACGGGTCACCTGTCCTGATCCTCAAATCATGCCATTTCATCCCAAGACGTTTTTTCAAGTGATAACTTCTATTGGCCCGTTAGCGGCTGCCAATGAACTCAATAGAGTCACTGTTTATATTAGAGACTTGAAGCTGAAGTGTTGTCATGAACGTTAACGTAAACGTGGAAATTGACAGCTACGCATGCGCATCTTCCAATTCTTCACGTTTGCGTTGTTAGTGGGCTTACGGGTGTACGTTATCTCACGTTCCTTCACGTATACCTTAAATATCAACGTACGTTAACCAAACTATATTCGAAATATGCCGATGAGTCAAAATAATCAAATTCGAGATCACCAACGAGTTCTCCACCAAGGAGTCCTCTAATTTTGACAGGAATAAATGTTCGAATCTAAACACACAACTAAAAAGGACCAATAAAAACCGAAAAAGAAATGTATTATTACGTTATGATGACAGTGACGACCAAAGTGGCGACTTCAACTCAATTTAACGACAATAAGTAAACGTTATTTTTCGTACGTTAACGTCTACGTGGAGGTCTACGTACAGTGATTACTTCAATTCTCTTATGAGTTCATTGGCGACTGCACACAAGCGTCTAGCTAGACCAGCGAATCTTTCAAACCTCAAGGTTATCAGAAGGTTTTTTGTATCAATTAGACTTATAAGGTAATACGAGGAAGAAAAATAACTCTTCTGCATAAAAAAGGGAAGTACTTTCAAACTAATTTGTCCTAAATTGACCTTTTTCCTAAAAAGTATATTTTTGAAGAATTAATTGAGTGAAAAACATTTAAAAAAAATGTATGCCTCGCAGGGATTGAACCCCAGTCACTACATTGGCAGTCAGATACACAGACCACTAAGCTATCGCTTTACTCTTAGTGATCCTAGTTTCTCAACGTAGAGAATAAGGAAGAAATATCATGTGTTGTGGATGACGTCACTTGACCTCGATGTTCGAAGAATCGCTGGTCTAGCCAGAGACAGTGTAGTCGTCAGCTCTGACCTGACATGCATATGCATGCATATGTGGAAAAACATATATATAAATATTTTATATTGTTTCACAAATATCGGTACAACAACATGGACAACAACATGGTATACATATTGTTTCCAACAATTATAACCATTATTGCAATTTGAACATTCTTCCCTTGTCGATTCTGAAGCGGTTATGCAATATTGTGTATTCGAGTTCGACGGCACATTGGTTGAATTCTGGCTGTATTCTGAATTCGACGACAGTACTGAATCTGCTGATTTTTATTCCGAAATCAGAAAGAATCACTTTGCAACGTTTGTAGATGTAGGGGTCTGCACATTTTGACTATGGTCCTGCCTTAGAAGTATGCCACCAATTGGCGATAACATGACTATAGATCATCCTGTATTATGCTATTCATTTTCTTTATGATGAATCATGCATATGAAATGGTACTTACATCTGCTTTAGCACAGTCGACTAAGTACACGAAGGGTATGTACACGGCGGCCATCGCAAATATGTTCGAAATTCCCAATGTCAAAAATACTGGATCCTTAAGCAAACTTAGATCCAGCAGTTGACTCAAGCACGAGCTTTCAGCTAGAACAAAGCTTACAATCGTCGAAAAAGTCAGCTAGAAAAGTTGCTCATACTTACATCTGGTCTTCTTTTTGGTGCGTATACTCTGTCTGTAGTCGTGGAGGGATTTCTGAGATTGGAACTCTTTGAGATTCAGTATGGAGCCTGAATAAAAGACATCTTTTCTGGTCATGGGAGGGACCACGCTACCCTTCCTTCTGTTGAGTGACAAATTCGAGATGTATGGGGCATTGGGTCCGTTGTTTTGCCACTAAAAAAAAATCATATTTCTGGTCAAAATACTGATCTCAATTGGTAAATACTCAAAAGAGGAAAAACCATTAGACTCCCCACAAGTAACAAGAATTATTGGTCTGATATTTTCCTCACACCACTGGAGCACAATACAGCAGTTATTCAAACTGTCATAGTCATCTACTGATAAAGCTGACTTCCGTGATCGTTTTGAAGCTATCTAAGTGTTACAAACTCCACCAAGCAATCCATGGTTCAATAAAACTAGCTGTTATGGTGATATAACCAATTGTCAACATTTTCATCACCTTCACTGAGGAAAGCTGAAGGTTTCGCACCTAATAGAGGTTTTCACATCGCAGCAGATCCTTCTATTTATGCTGAAGCTATCTCATAAGTGATAATACGTACTTTACCAAATAGTCTTTAGCTCAATGTAATTATTTAGTCTTTTTGATGATGAGGAAGTAATTGGACAAGTAACCTTGGTCTGTTGCCATGGAGATTTGATACTTTACAACTTTCCAATTACCTCATCCTCAAAAAGGATGATAGTTATATATGTAGCTGTTGGTGATGAAAAAACCTAAATGCTCACAGATGTTGAAATTTATCGATATTACTCCACCAAGCAAATCATAACTAGCTAGTTTCGTCGAGGCTCAAAATGCAACCATTTGTCTGCAGCCATAATCCTATGGAGATCTGAAAGTTTGGCAATTGCCAAAACCTCCAAAGCACCAAACAGATGATGACTCTGCAGCAGTTGTTGTTGAAGCAAATCCTGAAGCTTCAATGAAGTGTAGATTTATCTGCATATAATAAAGCTCTTAACTTCAAAAAGCTCAGAATCTACTAGCGTAGGTGTACCCCAAAACACTATCTGGAGCTATCAGAATCGGTTCAGAAGGTACCATGAGGTACAAATAAAAACACTGGTTCTTAACCCCGTACTCAGACCTCTTTAGCTATGCAAAAAAAATGTTTACTTACGCCGCTGAAGGTATTGTTTCTGGGTAACAGTTGTTTGGAGGGTATCCTTTCCAACGGCACTGTGGACACCTTCTGGGCCACTTCCAGAGGTTTCATGACGGCTCCGAAAACGACGCAGCATAATATCAGCCCTGCCAAACATAGGTTGGCCCCTTGCCATCCGTACCTGTCCAGCAAATAGGTGCCTAGAGGGGCGAACGCGAAGGCTCCGAAACCAGAACCACAAACCTAAGAAGAAGAATATACAGTGGCATTCGTTAAGTTGGCATCATATGGGAAAAACTTGTAATAATAATTTATTTTGGAATTCGACTTGGGCCTTATGTTCTGCTTCAAATTGTTATTTATTTAGGTACCAAGTGCGTTATATAGATCCTAACACCCAGATGGTAACATTCATGAATGTTGCTCGATGGGCGATAAGATCTAGTAACGCTGGTGGTGCATACAAGATTTTATTTTTCTTATTATAATGAAACATCGATTTTGAAAAGCGGTTCATTGCTCTTAGCATTTTTTTCCATTTTTCTTCTCATGTTGATATTTTGACGTTCGTTGAATATTGCTGTCATTATTTAATTCAGTGAATGTCATTACTGCTTTCTTTATCTGGTCTTATAGAAATAATGGAAATGAATACGAATTTACCGAAGAATATCATGAAAAATGCAGACAAGGCTTCGATTCATTTATTGCCGGAGAAATCCAGACTCGTGTATGTATACGACCAAGGATTATGAAGAATTTAATCAATGGAAGTATGAAAATCGAATTATTGCCATAGACGAGACCGTGTTATTGGCGTACTTTCAAAAATTGGTATGTAATTTTATGAACTACAGGAAAAAACCAGACCCATAACGCCCCGGAGTTATGGGTCTGTTAATAACAACCGTGCCAAGGTATTTTATTATAATAAAAATTTGAAAAATCGCCTACTTGGTCGGAGTCACGTGAATTTCACTACATTTCAAAAGTTACGCCCTGGTCGAATTTCGAAACAAAATTATTAAGCTGTGCTTCCCTAACTCCTATGGACGATACGCCATTGGTCAATTTTGTAAGATGTGGATGTTTTATTAATCTTTACCGATATGCCTGTCGCTAACGACCTCTTCGATTCAAAGTAATAGCCTACGCAGACCACAGCCGGAAGATAGATGAGACCGAAACCAGTGCCACCTATGAAGCCGTAGACGAACATGAGCGAAGTCAAGGTCGGACAGTACATAGAGAGGGCGAATGCAGCTGCTCCCACTATACCACCTGAAACATTAAATCTTGTTATAGTCTATCCAAAGAAAATTGATAGAGGTGGAAAACTATCGATAGTTTATACTATACAGGGTGGGCCACCAGTAACGCCTCGGTCTCTAGAAGGCAAACCACTTATCTTCTTGGAATTTTTCCTCTCTAGGTAGTTGCATGTCAACATAGGCTACCATTTGAAATTATTTTGAAACATACAGGATGTCCCCAAAAATCACAAAACACTGAAGTTGAACTTTTTTCAATCGAACACCCTATATATTATTTCATTTTGAGATTCTCCCTGGTGAGCTGATTTCAACAATCCATCATACTTGGGGTCTAGCAGTTATAATTACTGAGATATAGGGTGTGAGAAATCGAGATTTTCCAAGTTCAAGAATTTTTTGTGTCGAAACTATTCATAATTGGTCAAAACGGTTCACATATCCCTATCTCAACTTTTGATCAACTATCTACTGACATTTAATTGAAACAAATACAGGGTGGTGCAGAATTCAGATTCTTGATCACCCGGTATATGTCCCAATTAAATATCAGTAGATAGTTAATCAAAAGTTGAGATAGGGACATGTAAGCCGTTTTGACCAATAATGAATAGTTTTGACAAAAAAAATTCCTTAAGTTGAAAAATGTCGATTTTTCACACCCTATATCTCTGTAATCATTTCCGCTAGACCCCAAGTGTGATATATCGATGAAATCAGCTCTTCAGAGAGAATCTGAAGATGTAATAAAATACAGGGTGTTCCATTTAAAATAACAAAGTTGTTGCTACTTTTCGATAGAAGCGGCAACGCCGCAGAGCTGAAAATATTTTAGATCGATAGATCAAGAGCAATTACTTGAGTAACCAAATTTTCAGAATGATCTTATGTCCCGTTCTCCGTAAACGTCTAAGGTGCCATCTACCGTGACCCACCCTGTATAGGTTTAATTTTTGAAATTTGGTAATTTCTCTGATTTCTTATCGGAATTCCTTCTGCGATAGGAGCTATAGCTATAGCCTATTATATTAGGAATACACCTGAAATTTCTAAAATAATGCAAGAAGATTGGATTCATGCAATCAATCGGGAGGACTGGTCAACGACTGGTCTGACATGCTGACGATCGTGTGTTTTGTAGACATTTTCAATCTATTAGCAGTATTAGCTTTTATTGCAGAAGTGGCAGAAGGCAGAAGGAATTTTAATAAGGAATGACAACATTTCATAATGATAACTATGTGAGATTACTATTTACCTGAAGAATCATATTCTTCAGTCTCTTGCTGCATTTTTTGTGCATTGTACAACAGCACAATGCGAAGGCATGCTCGAATTAATGAATAGCGCAAAAAACACGATTCGTTTGCCAAAATATTGTGAAAAACTATTTCAATCCTTTGATTCCTATGTAACCAAATAAAAAAGTGAGGTTGTGTTTCAATAATTCACAGAAGAATGAGGTTGTGTTTCAATATTTTGCCTCCAGGGTCGGTCATCGTGCACGCGACCTATTAGATGCTGAAAAGTTTACTATTGGCCACTGGTGCAGAAAAAGTGATGTAGTGCCAGTAATCATGATATATTAAGTTAAGCGGAGTGGGAGGAGATCTTTTTCACTTTATGAACAATTTCGCACGCTGACAAGAAAGTTCTCTTTCATTACCTGCTATGCAGACCGCCCTGCACCCGAACCTGTTGGCGAGAGCCCCCGCCACCGGGCCCGCGCACATCGTCGATCCCGCCAAGATGCTGCCCACCCACGCCGTCTCCCCCTTGGAGGCGCCGTAATGGGCGGCGATGGCGGTCAAGAAGACGCCGAAGCAGTAGCCGATGCCGTCGACGACGACGTTGCAGCAGAAAGAGGCGGCGACGATGGCCCAGCCGTAGCCGCCGTCGGGGGGCGGCAAGAGGTCGTCGGCGGTGGGGTCGATGGGGGCATGGAGGCGGTCGTCGGCTGTTTTCGGTTTGGCCTAGGCGAGAGGAAGATGAATTGATAGGTCAATGGTTAACGTTATAATGCACTGGGCTAGCGAATTGTTTTTTTTTTCATTTTCATTCTCAATAACTAGCTTTCGCCCGCGGCGGCTTCGCTCGTGAAGCCCTTAAATAAATATCAATTGCTATTTTTCTTCAAATGACATTAAATGTGGCTTTTCAACAACACTCCACAGGCAGAAAAGGTGTACTTTTACTGCCTAGGCAGAAAAAGTTTATTGCTATGCAATGTTCCAAGTAATTTGAATCAAATTGGTAATCAACATTGACAATGACTTTGGGTGAACAAAAAATGATGGATTATTTGGACTTTGCGGGGAATTGAAGAGAATTTGGAGAAATAAGGAAATAAGGTAGGAATTGGTGTTCCTCTTGAATTTCTAGAGGTTTTGAACGAGTCTTTGGAAAGAGATGTTCTGCAGGTCTCCAAAGTGACCACGAAGGGGTGCGAAGCCTCAACTCGACGGGTCAATCTCGCGGGGACTGCCAAAGAAGGAACAAGGAACAATTGTTGATATTTCAGAAGATCATCGCCCATGAAAATATCTATCAAATAGAGCCAGATCGCCAACTTTTCTACGGTGTTCCAGAGAAGTGAGTCAAGTGAGTGAGTTTGTGGGCGAGGCATCACCCACGAGACGAATCGTTCTTTTTTGGACAGAATCCAACAGAGTCAGGGTATGTTTGGGTGTTGCACTTCAAATATGGAAACAGTATTCCAGGACAGGTCGGACCTGTGCCTTGATCATAAGCAGCTGAGTGGAAGTGAAATAGCTCCTGGACCGAAACAGAAAACCACCCAGTGAACACAAACATCCCTGAGATGTCACATTCATGTCTCGCTAGGTAAAAATGCGAATTTCAAGAAAACATCATTATTGGTATTGCTAGGAGACCCATATTTTATGAAAACTTCGAAAAAAAGATTATGATGGAGTACGGGATTTGAACCCGGGACCATTGGCAAAATTAGCAGCTACTACGCTACCCATTGGCTATTGTGTTTCTTGCAAAACATTTATACAAGAAGAAAAATCTTCTATTATTTTTTGGAATGCATATCTTTTTATGGCACGGTGGCTCATTTCGGGTAAAATTGAATTCGTGCAGTTTGGTTGCGCAAAAGACTAAATAAACATCAATGTCATTCGTGTTCAAGTCACTGAATAGCAAACAATCTAAAGGGTATTCAAAATTCAACAACTAGTGTAAAAAACAACATTTTGAATCGTGTCATGAGGATTGCACTTGTTTTAATCTGGAAGTTGAATATATGTAAAAATATACAGGGTGTTCCATTTGAAAAAACAAAGTTGCTGGCATTTCCAGACAAACCGGAGTCCGCCATATTGGATTGTAATTTCATCAAATCCGAAATGGATGCTTACATAACTGTACGTAATTTCAGAAAAATCCTCCTACGAATGCAGAAGTTACGGGGGTGGCCCGATACCCTGCGACACCCGGTATATTCTAATTGGTTGATTGATACGAATGATATGATGTAGAAAATATGTACCCATTCGAATACATAATCAAATCAGTAATGAACTTTTCTCTTATCTGAAGTACCCTCCTATAATTTCAAACCTGATAATATTATTATATTACAATCGTCTTCACATCAGCTATATAATTATGAATTGTTTGCCGAGCGATAAAAATATCCAACCTACAACCTCGTTACTACTTTATTATATTTGACAAATCATTCTACAGAGTGTAACAAAGTCGATTAAACCGATCAAACTTTCAGAAAAATAAAAAAAAAACATTTTTTCAGCGACGGGAAAAAAAAATTGGCATTTTATCTCTGTTGACAGGTTACACAATGTCACTTTTCATAGATTAGTTTTTTCCCACGGGAAAAAAGTGAGTACTATTTTCCGGATATATAGGTGCACTGTTGTTGATGGCTTTTGTTGTGCTATAATTCCAAAAAATAAGCCACCGTCAGAACTGAAAGTCCTTTTACCTTCCATTCCACTTCGCGGTTACGTAAATTACTAAACAACCACTAAGTTCATAATTTCTTTAAATTAAAACACATAATCAAATTGGCACATGTTCCATCGTTTTCAAAGGTTTCCATAGCAACAATAAAGATGCCAACAAAAACATGCCTGCAAACACAGGTGTACTACCAGTTGAAAATTCCAAATTTTAAATATCGATTATTTTCTGATTTTATTTTAATGCAATTTTCTCAAAATCGAATCGTCGTCTTCCTTGTCCTTGATAACAATATCAAAAAAATTATGTTTTTCAATATGAAAAAGCAGATGAGATGTTTTTGCTGAGAATTGTACATACATATTTCGCATACTGTAAGCAATTGAAACCATGTTGCTAGGCGAAAACCACGTATCTGCACGCGCCACATATGCAGATGCGGTGTTCTCGTTTAGTACTGTGTAGATAAGTGGTTTTGATTAGCAGGACTGCCATTTGGCTAGATACGGGGAATTGAAATGGCAAAAATTACTAATTCGCAATATAAATACCGGGTTTTCGCTAAGTAAAGATGAAGTGTTTGTTGGTTACGGGGGTTTTGCTTAGGACAGGAAAAACATAGTAAATGTATACGTAATATGTCTTGTAAGAAGCATATTACGCACGAACGGAGAAGTTATACGCACGTATTAGCCACGGAGCGGCGAGTGCGCAATTGCTTTACAACACGCATTACGTACTATGCTTTACCTACTACCATATAGTGCATCAAAAAAGTTTGGACAAACAGTCTGAATTATACAATTCTTGACAGTTATGTCATTCGCTGTTGACGGCGATTTCGCGATCATGACATACCTATACTGGCGGAATAAACGAAAACTGTGCGATGTGCGTACTGTGCGTAAAGAGCTACTTACTGAGACCACCGAACATAGTTTATGTTCGGTGCTGAGACTGTATCGTGTGTTCTTGCCTACTTTCTGTAGTGGCCGTAGGTAAATAACTATTTTCTACTCAAATAACTAAAAAGCCATTTAGCGTACGAATATATGTACCACGCTAAATGATGATCGATTTTAATCACGATCTGTGATTCATTCAAAATATTAAACACGTTACCATGGCAACACGATTCCTTAAACACATTACCATGGCAACACAGTTCATTAAACACAGCTTCAGTAATCTGAGACATGCCTGACCTATCAATTGTATTAACTGTCAACTGTCATTTTCAAATTTTGTATCAGAATTATTCAAACAATATCCGTTTGTATAGAGTTATCTATCAAAAATATCTGCGGAATGTAGACGAAAGTGAAATCGAAGAGAATATTCTGGTACTTGCATATCTCCAAAAGGTATAAAAATGAAGCATCCATCTCTGAGAACAATTTATTCATTCAGCGCTAAGCATGACAATAAAGGTGAAGCAAAGGTTAGTAAGCAATGGACTGGACACATCTACAACCAATATCACTTATACGTGTCTCGCTAGTTGCATGCAGTTGCATGTATGTATTATGTTCTCAATTCCCATTTCTTTCGAATCATTTTGTAGGTTAGCAGGTATGTTGATGTAATTTTCGGAGTTCGTAGAAAAAGCATTGTATGTAACGCGTTTATAAACTCTTCTAGACACTCGTTTATTAAACACTCGCTCCGCTCTGCTCCGCTCGTGCTTAAAATACTTGTTACTAAAAGGACGTTTATAACACTTGTTACATAATATACTAATTATCTGTTCCATAATAGAAAATATTTCGCCTATTTCTTTCCTTCTATTATTGATAATCTGGTATCTAGGTGGTTATGAATTATTGCTTGTTCTTCAAATAATCTCTGTGCTGTATTTGAAATTTGTTGTTCTTAGCGTTATCTGAAGCCTCAACAATAGATAGTTATTATTTGTGGTATAAATATAGATACGGCTTATGAGTATTATCGAATAGCTCTACAAATATATTCATGTTGAATTCAGAATAGTAGATAAAAATTAACCCAATCAGTACGGAAAATGAAAAATGAACAATATTTTTTGATGTATTGGATTATGAAATTCATAAAACAATTCGAAAGCAGGTACTTATATTTTTGAATAGGTGTTCAAAGACTCTTGAGGAAATTTTGAACGCTTGAAAATCAAAGCCTCCTAAATGAATATTGATTGATTTCTCTGAATTTCTTAAATTTCATGTCATACATATTATTTCAGTATACTTGTAGTAATAATAGTCCGAGAGCCGACTGCAAATTTCGACAGTCATTCGATAACGGAATGATATATACAGGGTGAGTCAGAATGAGATCGACAAACTTCGTACAAGGATTATTCACCTCATTTTGAGGTGAAACGTTGCTTTCAACGTATGTCCTTAAATGCATCCTCACTGAGATACAGGGTGTCGAAAAAATTAAAAAAGTTAAGGTTTCACTAAATTCCTCCAGAACCCCTGTAGCAAAAAAATTGAAACTTGGTATACCAATCCAGAATAAGAGGAGTGATCACAGGGAGTTTTCATTTTTGAATTTCGTCAACCAGTGGCGTAGTGATAAGGGTCGTATGTCGCCACATATGTTCCTTCAAAACTTTTCTCAGACAGATGAATTATCAAATTAGTGAATGACAAGTGTGAGAAATGATATTCTTTATGCCTAAATGTAGAGGTTCCATAGGTTTGCGGAAAACTTAAGTCATGTCTTGAGGTATAATATTTAGTAGAGGCCTAATTTGCTGCGTACCATAATTGCATGATGCTGATATGTACGAGATATTACTTTTCAACATCCGGAATATTTCTGAATGTCGAAAAAATTAAAAACATTGTTTGGGTGAGGCAGAAGTAAATCGACAAACTCGAGGTTAATAGTCGTAAGCCATCTTAAATTTGTCAGAACCATCAAACTATTAAAACAAAAGTTTTCAATCAAAGGCATCCATGACAACGTTTTTAATGTGTGAAACAGTGTAAAATTGTAATTATTTTAATAGAAAAATGTGATTTCACTTAAAAGTTCA